AAACTATTCAAAACAATGAGTCCTATATGAGAGTCAATGAGATATTTCATAAGTTAGAGAAGTAAATATGAAACTTTTCAAAGTGATGAATGCAGTTTTCATTGCTTGTAAAAGAATCACAACGGTATAGGGTTTAGCAAAATCAAGTGGTACCAACTTCAGCAGGTTTTGATCAGATATGACTGAGTTACTGTATAACGGTGGTCAGCACTACCTCTTTTATCTTAATGTTGAATGTTTGGCAGCATGTACCAAACCTGACACCCCACACTGTATTAGCAGCTTCGGCAGAGGAGTGCATTGGGGAAGGATACTAGTCTTATTCTAGGAAGAGGAAATGCAACCTGAAAATGATCTGTTATGGTAGGGCAGACCAAGACCTTCGCCTTAGCTGGCAGCTGGTCTAGGAGGGAAGCTCTGACAGGCGTATAGACAGAGCACCGCTCTTCTGATCTGGCAGCTTCTGCAGCAGGCTTTGTTCAAAACGTACTAGTGTTACCTTTCCTTTCGAGTAAACCAAGCAGGCAGAGAGAGGGATTATTACACATGAGCAACCTATGGTCTCTACAATACTGCCCAGGCTTTGTGCTATGGCTCCCCAAGGGATGTGTTCCCAATAACCCCAGGGATTTCTGTGAAATCAGCATCCATGAACTGAACAATGCAGCCTCAGAATCAACTCAAGACCTTCAGAGCGCTAGGCAAATGGCTTGACAACTTCACCACAAAAAGCCATATTGAGTGACCTGGTATTTTGTTTTGCATTGTCCTGAAAAACTTCTTTCCCAACTGGCTCATTTCTATAGCCTAAATATCATAGCCATATTTGTGACTCAATGAATGATTATCCAAAGTATCGCCAGTTACACTGGGATGTAAACACTAAGCCTGTCTGAGTTAATAAAGTGACTCAGTATTGTTGTGTTCTGTTAGTCTGAAAAACTGCCTTTCCAATGGTCTCAATTCTGCAGGAATAAAGCCACCATGTAATTAAATATGCAGTTAAACAAGTTGCCATATTTTTGGCTCATCGTGAAGATAAAATCTGTCACGTGTCATAGTCTATGTTTGTTCCAACATATATTCTTTACCAGATTTCAGAAGTTGAGAAAAAAAAACAACTGATATGCCAGAGAGTACATATGTTCTTTGAAAATTAACACAAAAACTGTAACAAATTTATGAGGCTCATGAAATAATGAGGCACATGGCTCATTGTAATGTTTTTATATTCAATAACTTGTCACATCCAGATATGGAAAATATATGCTTTATAAAAAAAAATTAATAATTTGTTTTCAACATGCGTTAGATCTAGCTTTGAATTAGCAAATACATTCACAATGAGAACACATATGACAGATGTATGGTATAATTTCACAGTAAGATAATAGTTAAACTAATATTTTCTCAATGAGTCTGAGATCAATTTTTAGTATAATTTAAAAACTAAATGTAACTTTATAATAAAAATTTCCCACCCCCTTTGTTTTAGGTGTCAAAACAGCAAAGCAATAAGGTACTACTGGATGCACGTGCAACAGAAATCACACCATATCCAGCTAGAAGAAGTGAGAAATGCTTACTATTTATTATTACTTGCTGTTTTGAACCTTCTTTGTCAATAACAATTAAAATGGCCTTTTGTGTTGTGGTTAACAGCTAGACTGGAGGATCTGTTCCTTTCAGCCTAACACGTTGGATTTCAGCAAAACCGAATGAACCATTTTCTTTTTAATGACATGCTTGTCAAGGAGGCAGTGGGCCTATTCTTCCCCCTCATACCCCCTCCCTCAAACAGGTCCTGGGCTCCAAAGAGGGAGTGCTATGAACCTGAAACAGAAGACAGGACTTTGTCTGAAGAGGCAACATTTAGTTTAATTCAATATGACAGAATATTCAGCACTGCCACTGCACATAATACACACTGTGCTGGCCAATGTTTGTTTTGAACACAAAGTGTAAGATCTCTGGTTGTTGCAAGTGTAAGCACAATTAAAACAATACATACATTTTATTCTGATGTAGGAATACAGATTTCAAATGTACATACATCTTAAGATATGGTTTTGTAGTAAGCTTCAATTAAACACAATAAAAAGACTAGCACGAATAACAGTGAATACTGCAGCAGGACTGCAGAGTCTTCTTCTTCTTGGCGTTCACTGGCTGTAAACTCTGGCAGAAAGTTCTGGTTGTTTGTCCACTTTTGAACTTAGCTGTTGTTTCAGAACTTGGGTCTGTGTAAACATCCGTTTTACAGATCTGGCTTATTTGTATGCACACTGTTGTTTCTCCACCTCTCAGGCAGATGTACTGCCTTCTAAATAACACCCCTAATTTTATGACATGCTTGTTAGGGGACTGTTCTTGTTTTGTGATGCTCTGAAAATAAAGTTCATTCCCCAAAATGGAGAGACAGCAAATGTTGTAAAGTGACAGGCTCGGTGTTTATCAGGATTTCGATTCCAGTGGTGGGCAGTTTAGAAAAAGACCATTCTCGTGGCTCTCAGAAAGTGGTAAGAGAATTACACTGTGGAAGAGATTGGGGCCTAAACATATAATATTCCCATAGTCAGCAGCGGATACATAGCTGTCAACTTCCAGCGTGGATATGGAAAATTTTTTATTTATACAGTCAGTCATGGCATAATGAAAGTGAATGACTAGTTCCCTTGATCTCCACTTTCACTTTCTAGGCAATTATGAGAAATGCTTGTAAATTATCTGGTACCTGTTTTAGGAGGGCGGGCAGACCCTGGAGCTGCACTGGTAAACATTACTGATACATCCAGTGCTCAAAACGTCACCAATAATTTTAGTAGGTCAGCTGTCGCCTCAATAAGAACATGTTGACAAAAACACAGACTAAGATTCATGTGTGTATTACGGTAACCACTGACTAGACTGAACTTTCTTTCAGTAGCACAATGAACTAATCTCAAATACACAAAACATGAATTATAGAAAACATGAATGGAACAAACCATCAATTATACAAGTACGGTGATTAAATAATGACAGTTTTATTTTGGCCAGGATAAAAACATCATTTGTGAAGCAAAGCTTGTCATCCAAAACAGGCACAATTTCTCTATGATGTGACTAATCTGCAATACTGACCAGTTAGCAGATGACAAATAACTTGCCATTATGTTCAACTAGTGAGAGATGCTTTGTTACATATGCAGCATGAAGTGTATTTTTTTTTTTGGGTCATCAGATAAAGAGTGCAGCACAAACCAAAAGTGACTTTTCTCTTGCCCAAATATACAATTTAAATTTTACAAACTATCTCTTTCTGGATTTTAACATAAAATGTATCTGTTATCATCCTATCCTCACAATCACTGATCTTCCTGTATCCGTTCTCTGACTTTGGCATGAGTTTATCATTATGAACAGAAACTGAACATCCCAGTCTAGTTTCACCCTCCACTGTTTCCACAACAGTTTTGAATCATGAATACCACCTGCACATCTGTACATAAGATAAATATCACTTTTCATCACTTTTCTCATCATGAATGGCACAGTCAATTGTAGAAAACATAAATTACAAACAATAATGCAACAAACCATAAATGGCAGAAAACATAAATGGCACAAACCATGGTTTACCGAAACCTTGAATGATACAAACAGGCAATTACAGAAACCATTAAGAATAGATAACATGAACCATGAATTATAAAAAACTTAAACAAATATACAAACAATAAATTACAGAATCTAAGGATTACATAAACTAAGAATGACAGAAATCATAAATTAAAGAAACTATGTATGGCACAAACTATGAATGACAAAACCTGAGTATATATGAGTTCAGATCATGTGTACAGTTTAAAACAAAAATGAATTATGCTACATAAAAACACAGTTGTTAGGAAATTAAAATTACAGTATGTAAAAGCATTTGAGTGAAGGAGATTACATCCTCGCAAAAAACAACAGCACACAACATTAGTCAGCACACAACACAGAAATTACGGCAAGCAATAAGTCACAACATCCATCAGATATGGTCTAGATGTAATAATGAGTAGAGCTTATGGTGGTAGAACACCACTAATGTAGGGTCTGGGTTCAATCCTCAGCGGGGTCATGGGGCGGAGATACTATGTCCACCCAGAGCTAATAAACTCCAGCAAAGAGCTCTGGTTGGTCATCCACTCCAGGACTTGTTTTGTTCCAGAACTTGAGTTTTGTATGCACACCAGTTTTACAGATCTGGCTCATTTATGTGCAGACTATTGGTTCCTTGCCTCTCATGCAGATGCACCCTGACTCTGAAGGCAACACACCTAATAAGTTGCCCCCCTGTAACATCCTAATTAGATGGCGGTGGGTCTTTGTTCTCTCTTTGACTAATTATTTCCTTCAAAGTCGGAGTGCATCTAGAACTTTCAGCTTGAGTTTACAGTCAAGGAACATTAAGAAGATAAACACAATACACTCATGCAAAAATCAGTTCTTTACATTTTTTAAATAAATGATGGATAATTCTGCTGACCAAAACATCCAAGGGATATCATCAATGGATAACTGATCCAGAACATTGAGGTCTATGCTAAGTTGAGACATATGAAGACTTTTATAATCTGACAAGGCACATGATAATGAAAACTGGTTTCTGATATCAATTTTTAATTTCTTCTTTTTCTGTACGGAGTTCATCCTTAAAACTGTTGTTGACATGTCAGTGTTATGCTTCACAGCCAAGCTGTGAGATTATCAGTGCCCTTTGACCCAATACGTTAGAAAGCAGGAAACCCCTAGTTTCCCTTTTACAAGTATGTGATTCTTTGTTTATGATTAGGGGCAGATCACCGAATCCTACTGATCAGTCAGAACCTGCTGATGACTGAACCCAAACCACTTCTTGGTAAATCAGTGAGCTAAAACATTTGTATACTATATATAGATACTTAAAAATACATATACGCTTTAAACAATGCAGCATTAGTTAAGGATTTTCACTAGAAGCAAATCATCAATCAGACATAAGTCTTTGGTTCATCACTTGTTCGCCTGTGGGTGATCTCCACATCCTCGCTCGGACCTGGCGACTCACTGTGGTGAGGCGAGTAACGGAGGTGCTCGTCGTCCGTTAGAGCAGATATAAACACATCAGTGACTGCTTCGCCATGGGCTCGTTTCAGCTCTGTCTTCAGCACAATCTCATTGGTGATGTATGCCTCCCGACGGATTTGCTCCTTGAGGACTGCAGGCACATCAGGGATCAGCCAGGAGAGGAGGCTGGTGATGACCACAACCACATTCTGCAAATACAATTACCAGTCAAAATTATTGCATATTATGCCAGGTTTTAGCCCTGTATGGCAGCTAATCTAACATCACCATCCATTACAAATCCATGAGAAACTGCTAAAGATTGGCTTTTTTAGCCACAATGATGTTATAATTCTTCTTTAGTTCTGAGCAGTCACCTAATGATTGTATTGTTCCTATATAAATTGTAATAATTTAATTGTCCACTCTGTTTACTTCCTTTCATTTATTTCTTACATAAAAAAAATGTTAATAAATAAATTTAACAAAAATGTATTAATGATTTGTATAATTTTTTGTTTTGTCTATATATATATATATATAATTTTTTGTTTTGTTCTTCTAAAGAATGTATTTCCGCAAGGAAATATCAGTTTGTAATGTTCCTATTATGTTTGATTATTGAGTTTCATTGGGAAGCTGATTGCTTATACTTCCTGTGCTGGTTTATTATCTTCGTCTTCTTCAGCATTCCGAGCCCTTGAGGTTCACTGCTGCAGACATCACCCAACATCACTCATCTCTCTGGTTGGCCTTCTCTTTCCAGTTGGTAACATCAAGCGTTTGCAGGTCTCTCTGGACATGATCTCTCCATCGTCTTCTTGGTCTGCCTCGTGTTCTGTGACCATTCATCTCCCTTGTGTACGCAGTTTTGCAAAAATAAATGTTACAATTTTTGAAACACATTTTACAGCAGTTTTTATTATTATTGTTCCTTCTCATTCTTTTTCTTAGCTATCAATGCCAATGAATGCACTATCAACTGAAGCCAAGTCGTATCTATAGCAGTTTTTCTATGCCTTTCCAGAAGTACTGAACACATTTTTTTTTGTAACTTTTTTTATTATACAAAAATTAAAAATTATTAAAATGTTTGTTAAACGGCTTCTTCTTTTACTCCCCCCCCCCATTACTTTTTCTTCATGGCTTCTCGTCTCTCATCTCATCTTCTTTCTCTTTCTGCATTATTATTCTCACCCTTCTCAATCTTCACCATTTTCTTCTTCTTATTCATACATCCCTCTGTTTTACTCCGCCTTCTTCAGTACTTCCTGAACATTCAAAGATAAAATAACAATAAAAGTGTAGCATATGAAGACCAACATTAATTTCAAAAACAGTAGAATTCAAACATACAACATGTGATATTTGTGACAATATCTACCCACCTCAAAAAGGACGACGAAGGCCAAACGTGCTGCCAAAATGTGCCAGAACTCAATAGATCTGCGATACTCTGAGTCCACCCACGGAGGATTTCGAAAATCTTTATATCTGAGCATGAAAGAGGATTCATTATATCAGCAAAAGCTACTGTATATTTATAATTGCCACAGATTACACAGGAAGAAGCCTGGAAAACACCTGTGAGGTAGTACAGCCATAGAAGCAGAGAACCATAACAATGTAATCCCTAATTCATGTTATAAGAGGCAACAAAAAAATTTTAGAGTGTGAGCGCCTACCTCAAATTTGAGCAGCCTAATGTCCATTCCTGTTTTGCCTCCCAGAATCAGGTTAGAAATGGTCATTTGGTAAAAGTTCTCAAATGTGTCTCCCTACACGTTAGTATTTATAGCTGAGATATTCCACGAATCCACTGTTTATAGAGAGGACCACTTGACATTAATACACTGTACTAAAGCTTCATGTGGGCTGCTGTCTCATGGTAATCGTATTACATGACCAAACCATCAGATTTTATGATTATTCCTCCAATAATTAATTAACACTGATGATCACTTTCACTTAGTATCAGAACAAGAGTTCTCAAATATTATACCAGAAGGGCTCCCAGAATACATGGTTTATAATTTTGTCCTTTTATTCAGAATATGATCTTGGTATGATCAGTCACTTTTTGAGTTACAAATGCAATACATTTTATAAGCAATGGCATCTGTGGCTCACAGATTGCGAAGTCAGTTTGTAATTCCAAATTATCTGGTCTAATTTAACTGCAGGTGATTTGGCAGAGCAGACTGCTTTGCTCTGATGTCAACAATGGTATGAAGAGTCGACCTGTCAGAAAGAAATGGCAAACTACTGAACATTAAAGTGCCCAGTAAAACACCCAGCAAAACCAGAAACAGCGATTAAATGCTAGGGATGGTTTGCAAGGTCTAGAAAAGGATACCCAACTAAATTTAAAAAAAATCCTCATTACAAACAATTTCTGCTGTTAAGCGTCGAGAGTAAGAATAATTTGTGATCCATCACATGGGGACTAGCACTGGCTATTGTCATGCTGTGAAGGCATAAAGTGTCTTTAATTTTGTCGATCCATCTTTTAAAGGCGGTCCTCTTGGTCTTGTAGCTGATATCCTGAGATGCATAGCCTGCTATGGTATTTAATATTGCTGCATTCTTATGAGATGACCAGACCACTTGATCTGTGGTTTCTCTGTGAATCTAGTACAAGGTGTTGTTCCCACAATCTGCCTGACAGTATCAATATTCATTTGATCTTGGATTTAAAAAAAATAAGAACAATACTACCAAAGTGAAAAGGTGAGTGCACTCACCTGCATATCTGAACATTTCCTAAGGTCACATCTTTAGGTTTATCTTCTGGGGCAAAGTCTGACGTGTTGAAGTAGGCCATGGTGAAGTTGACGTAGCCTGACAGAGATCCATCCTCGCTGTACCGTAAGGTGTACACCAGACGGGGGATGAACTCTGAGGTCAAGGCTATTATAAATGCCTGTGTAAAATAAACAATAAAACTATATGAAAGTTTAGAATCTTGTCCCTGTCTCATGAATACAGGAGAAGACAAGGAAAAGAGCATGCCTGTAATCAAAATGGCCAGAAAAGGGCATGTCTTTGGTATACTGGACTTACGGTAAGTAAAGCAAAGGTCTCATTTCTTCCACATCTTTGGGTACACCCAATATGTGGTGCTAGATCCAAATTAATTCAGCTCATTCAGCACTAATGTCATGATGTGGACAATAGCATGCATGCAACTTTGTTTCCTACAACACTTCCTGGTACCATGCCTTATACAAGTGGGATATGAATGGCACAGGTATTGAGGTAGATTCATTGGGGGGGGGGGGATGGATGCCATGGACTGTGTTGTGTGGAAGGGGTAGACCAGAAATGCAATGGGGACAAAATGAATGCAGAAAGGATGGGAGCTGAGCTTCTGAAAAGAAGCAGACTGATACATCCAATGACAACAGTGGTCCTAAAATCCCATCCTCAAATTGTGGAAGGTTATTCTTAATGTAGGCGGGTCTTGCTAGACAGACTTGGCATCTCTGTGGCCTGTGATTCTTATGCCTCTTCTTAGCACAGTATAACACTGTCACCTGGAAAGACGTAAGGGGGTAACAACATTAGACAGCTTTACAGAACCGGTTACAGTAAAAACAGGATGTTGTGGAAATTAGCCTTTATCAGTCCAGTGGTGACGAGATACAAAACACAACACAAAAATGAACTGACTCTGCAGTGACTTCATTATGGTATTCAAATATTGAGTAAAAATGAATACAACAAAATAATGATAATAAATAACTTACTAATATACAGCAACTAATAGTTACCCATCAAGAGGTGTTGGGTACAGTTAACTTGCCATGACTGACTGCTTCCATCAATGACAAAGTTCAATTCTTGTGGCTACCATTAGTGTTGGCACCTTCAGTGACTGTCTTGTGCATTTTCTGTGTATGTCTCAGTCTGGATTTTGTCAGGACTAATTGTAGTTTACTAGTTTTTAAATGGGACAGTGAGGGTTATTCAGTATGACTTTCACTGCAAAAGGAGCAACTATGAGGTGACCCCTTCGCGGTGAAGTTGAAACCTTGACCACCAACTTCCTGATCATCATCATCAAGTGTCTTGCCGACTGGCAAGGGCAATCAGGCCTCTCCACAATCTGCAACTGCTCGTGTGTTGACACCCCTCCATGCCATGACAAAAGGCTGTAAAAAATCTTCTCGTGTTATCTACATATCGCTTATTGACTTTTCAGAATATTTGCTGCGCAGTTTCTATGCATTTCCTCTTCAGTCGAAATAGAATGTTATCTCATGCTCATATTTTCATTTATTTCAGCGATACTTCAAGTCACATTTCATTCAGTGGGTGAGGATAAAGAAGCTATTGATGATCAATGCTCTCTAAATTCACATGCTGTTCACTCTTTTGTCAAACATTTGCAGTTATGACTCCCAAACGACAAGCGATTGGCCCATCTACACCTAGAGTACGCAAGAGAAAGGCATTAATTGTTTTAGAAACAGACAAGCAACATGAAGTAAGACTAGAATACGTTCAAGTGCGCACTGCTGAAGCCCGATCATCTCAGTCAGACGAGCAACGAGAAGCAAGACTGGAAACCAATAGAGTATGCACTGCTCAAGTCCGTTTAAGCAAGACTGGAAACCGTTTGAATGCTCACTACTCTATCCAGGCGAACACTGCACATTGATTTGAATCTTGGTGCAATTATGATTACAGTCTTCATCCACAGGTGCTTATTGGCAAAATGGATAAATTGTGCGTGCATTGCAGTGCCTTCAACACCGGGAATGTGCTGCGCAGGTTACAAATTTCTTCAGATTTATTTCATGGGAAAAACTGATAAACAAATCGATCAACGTTGTCGATTCAATAAGGGTACAAAATGAAAAATAGTCGCTGCTTTACAAACTTTATTCGATCAACACAACAAATTAATTTGATTGTTCAGAACTGCTCTTCAACAAACACCAGCTGATGACTACAGAGCTGTACTTAGAGCAGACAAAACAAATGTCGGCCAACACAAAAGACAGTACAATGCACCAAAAATTGATGAAGTGGCGATTCCCGGAGGCACAGGCAAGACATTTCTCATTTCACTTATTTTGGCATCCATACGGTCACAAAATAATATTTCACTGGCAATCGCGTCTTCTGGCATTGCAGCAATTCTTTTGGATAGTGGCTGAACAGCGCATTTAGCATTGAAATTGCCGTTTGAATATACACATCACTGAGACACCAACACACAATATCAACAAAGATTCTGCAATGGGTAAAGTACTCCAAGTATGTCAACTCATTATATGGGACGAGTGTACTATGACACACAAGAAATCATTAGAAGCGCTTCATAGTACACTTAAAGATTTGAGAGGATATGACCACCTCTTCGGTGGCGCACTCATTTTATTGTCAGGTGATTTTCAGCAGACTCTACCAGTTATACCAAGATCAAGACCCGCTGATGAACTTAATGCATGCCTAAAATCATCAGTTTTATGGCGACATATACATATATTGACTTTAAAGACCAATATGTGTATACAACTACAACATGATGCAACCGATGAACATTTCGCAAAACAGTTGTTGGATATTGGGAATAGGACAATGCCAACCGATGAATCCACACGATGTATCACATTGCCAACAGACTTCTGTAAAATTACAGCTACCACAGACGAACTGATTCACAAAGTTTTCCCTAATATCACACAGTATTACAAAAATCATCAGTGGCTCAGAGAACGTGCTAAATTAGCAGCTAAAAGCAAGGATGTGTATGCCATCAATCTGAACATTCAAGACAAATTACCAGGCGGAGTGACAACGTATAAGTCTATCGATACTGTAATGAATCAAGACGAAGTTGTTGATTACCCAACTGAGTTCTTGAATTCACTTGATTTGCCAGGCATGCCACCCCACGTTTTAACCTTGAAAATTGGCGTGCCTATCATTCTTCTCAGAAAAATCAATCCGCGACGACCCAGCCTAAAATGGGTACCAGGATGGGCTGTCCTGGGAAGGTGAAGACAGCCGGCGTAATGCTGACCACATTACCCACAGAGTGCTGATGGTCTGTAAAAATATGGGACGCTCTGCCCATATGCCCGATGCGCCGAAAGGCGTGAAAAGGGATCTTAACTTTTTTTTACTTACATCTTTGCAATGGTACCAGGCTTGCAGTGAAAAAGATGATGCTTAATATCATCGAAGGTACAATTTAAAATGGAAAATTAAAGGGCCAGGATATACTATTGCCATGCATCCCAATGATTCCAACAGACATGCCATTCGAATTCAGACGCTTGAAGTTTCCGGTACAACTCGCCTTTGCAATAACCATCAACAAATCACAGGGACAATCGCTACAAGTGTGTGGACCACATTTGGAACATCCATGCTTTTCACATGGACAGCTATATGTGGCCTGTTCACGTGTTGGAAAACCTTCTGATTTATTCGTGAACGCACCAGACGGAAAAACAAAGAACTTTGTATACCCGAAAGCACTTCAGTAAACAGAATTACAATGACATTTTAAATTGCCTGTTTTTTCCTAAGGATATAAAATCAGTGCAATGATCCAATATAATTACTACATATTATTATAGTGACTTTCCTTTCAATTGATTTTCTATTGGAGGTGTAGCAAGGCGTGCAGGGTACAGTTTACCATAGCGTTCATTTCGTAAATATGGTGTATTTTCCTGTTTTACAACTACTTTAATGAGTAGTCGGTGAATTGGGGGAGGGGGGTAACATTAACTGTTAACTGAGACAGATTTAAGTCACAGTAACTGCCTTACCCACTCAAAGTAGCAGCATAGTAGTAGTAGTTGTGGTTAGGCGGTTGCACCGTATATTGCTGGCGTAAAACGAAGCAAGATTTCTATTTTCTTTCTTTTCCATTTAGCCAAACTATGCCACAGCAACGCCTACTGCTAGTCATTTTATAAAATGCAGTTTTGGCTAGTCTCTTCTTTATCCCTGTGATACACTTATCCTTGGATTTGACTATTTATCTCTTTATTTTAATTTAACCAAACCTGGGTACTAAGTACCTTACAAATAATTTCGTGGAAACCAATCAGGTTTTCGGATGTGTAATTGATGAAAGCCACATGAAGAAAATTACTTATGTGCTGAATTTGTAAACTTAAATAGGTTTTGTCATTACAAATATTTATTGAAATTTTTAAATTAAAAAAAAAAAAAATATAAATAAGAAATCCCAAAGTGTTAGCTATTTTGTCCAAAAAAAATAAGAACTCTATCTAAATAACTTGAAAAATTTCGAATTGATTAGCAATGTTTAGGAATAAGTTAGTATATATGTAATATAATAAATGTGTTGAATTATTTCCCCTACATTAATAATGCCCCTGTATATAATTTTTTACAAGTGTTTGAAGTGGGAGTCTTTGTGGCGAAGTGGTCAAGTCGTTTGCCTCACAATCTAAAGGTCTTGGGTTCCTTTCACGGCTGCGTCATTCAGTTTTTGAGTGCCATTTTTACGCAGATACCTGGAAATCGTTGCTAGAATGACGGAGTTCATGCTCTGAGTGGTGCACGCGACATGCAGCTAGCCATTCATTCTGCAGAGAGGGGCAGAGCCAAACAGGATAAAATCCAGTGCAATAAAGTCAATACTTTCAACTTTAACGTTTAGTGTTTCAAGTCGAGGTCGAGAGGATTGACAGACGAACAACCAAAACTTTCCGCCGGAGCTTACAACAGTCAGTGAACAACGACGAAGACAAAGATTGTTTCCTCTTGTCGCATGACAGCATCCACACATCTGCCACAGCAGGAACGTCCATATAGCTGACCACCCTAAACTCGTCATCGTAACTATGTAATAGAATAGGCCAAGCATAGTTAGATAGTTCGTTTGTTGTGGGGGAGTCCTGATAGGCAAAATCCATATAAAACCCTTTGATAATGACTCTTTTAGGCTTTGAGTGTCGAATTAAATGTTAGGACACATTTTCTACGCCTATTCTAAATAAATTGTCTGACCACTGCACTGCATTAGTGAGCGCGATTCGTACGCTAACTGCTGTTGTTAGGGGACGTGTTTGTGTGCGTCACTTCTCTACAGTCCGGTCTTGGAGGCAGGCGTTTTTCCTTGTGTCTCGCCGATTGACCGTTATACAGACAAGATTCCTTATTCTCTTTTTTATTTACAATGGGTTATGAAGATCCAACAAGTGTCAGTGTCTTGTAGACTGGTTCCTTCTGCCACTACCCATTAAGCAATTTACATGTGGTGAATTGGGGGTCCTGAACGTGTGGACGATACCTGAGTCGTCGTCTTCCGAGCTCAAGGTGATTGTCCTCGATCAACGCCAGAAACTGTTCCTGCTGGTGAAATAATGTTGGGAAGTCTGGCGACGTGAAGATCTATTCCGGCATCCAGAGAAGCAGCCTCGTTTCTGAGAAGTCCTATCGTAAAGTACGGCAGTCAAAAACTTCGCTCCAGCATCCAGAGGAGATATAAGATCTAAACAGATAAGTCAAAGTGACACTTTATGACGGCTTAAGTCTAAGTGGACCTTTCCAATCCATCAGATTCCTCAGCTATGATGATACTGGACAGAAACGTAGAGTAGGAGGAAGACTCTCGCACTAACTTTGTTCTTTAAAGTATTCAATATTCTTTCAGTTAATTCTTCAAGTTATTTTTCTTCAGCTTGGTTACAGGGAACTTATTACATTGAATTTCGAGTTCATTCGCCTTCTAGTTCTTAGGAGAGTTTTGTCAAATTGGGGTTCATTGTGGCATTTATAAACGAAATCTTGTCTTATCGTATTCACTGTTGATTATTTGTTCGACTGGACTTGTTTTGTTCCAGTCTGGGGGCAATCTGTGGTGAGGACGTCTGGCCGAGAGGTACCCAAGTGTTCATAATAACCCTGTGGAGTCAGAGCTCGTGTCACCTCACCACTGAGACAGGTTGAATGGAAAGTTTGAACCGAGGGTTAGGCCTCTAGACGAACGAGAGCCACCATTCAAAACTCTCCTGTCTCAGAGCACCTGAGGGATTTGTGAAAATATCCTGTAAGTAAGGTGCGCGACAAAACTGCCATACGACACCTCTGTGCACATTTGATTTAGCCAGGTTTCTTTATCTTCTTTGTATTTGTTCACTGCTGCCTTATGTATACTAGAGTATTCTTCTTTATGAATTACCTGGTACCAGTTTTAAGCTGTGTCTTCTTCCTTGAAGAAGATTCACACACATGACCTCCAGGTTAGCAGGTTAGTGAACTAGTCACTGAGACACTGCATTTCCCACCTACGTGGCTTTTGTTGCAGCATTTAACTCATCCACAACAGAAAAGGAATGAGTTGAGTCAAGAATTAATATCACAGCACTCGGGACATTCCCATGTGTGCTCCATCCTCATCTTCAGCAGCCAGTGCAGAGTTCCAATACTGATGGTACCGGTAACAAAGGAATGAATAGCTCATTATGGTCTGAAGAGAATGGTAAAGCCAGGAGTGGCCAGGGAATCTGCTCGACACTCGACACTCTACACTCAAAGGAAAGGCAAGATGGGCATATAATCACACTGTTACTCGCACTACTGGAATTGGATCTCGCTGGCTGCTGAAAATGAGGACAGAGCACTTATCGGAATTTCCTGAATGCTGTGATTTCAGCTCTTAGCTCTGCTGTGATGTCAGCTCTTAGCTCTGCTGTGATGTCAGCTCTTAGCTCTGTTGTGATGTCAGCTCTTAGCTCTGTTGTGATGTCAGCTCTTAGCTCTGCTGTGATGTCAGCTCTTAGCTCTGCTGTGATGTCAGCTCTTAGCTCTGCTGTGATGTCAGCTCTTAGCTCTGTTGTGATTTCAGCTCTTAGCTCTGCTGTGATGTCAGCTCTTAGCTCTGCTGTGATGTCAGCTCTTAGCTCTGCTGTGATTTCAGCTCTTAGCTCTGCTGTGATGTCAGCTCTTAGCTCTGCTGTGATGTCAGCTCATAGCTCTGTTGTGAAGTCAGCTCTTAGCTCTGTTGTGATGTCAGTTCTTAGCTCTGTGATGTCAGCTCTTAGCTCTGTTGTGATGTCAGCTCTTAGCTCTGTTGTGATGTCAGTTCTTAGCTCTGTGATGTCAGCTCTTAGCTCTGTTGTGATGTCAGCTCTTAGCTCTGCTGTGATGTCAGCTCTTAGCTCTGTTGTGATGTCAGCTCTTAGCTCTGTGATGTCAGTTCTTACTTAGCTCAACACTCAACACAACAGATTTTAAAAGCCTGAACCAAATATGGAGCTATAAATTATATAGTTTTAAAACCAAAGTATTATTTTTAATTCTAATGTTATATCAATGTTAACATGCCAGTGAAAGTTGGAGAACAACTAAAGTCATGGAATCAAAGTTAAATACATTTGGGGAAAAAAAAAAACCGCTTAAGGAAGGAAACAAACATTAAATTCAAGGAACTGAAAGAGGAGGAAGAGACACAAACATCTGGACAATTGCAGGGCTTTTTCCTGGTGGTGTGCAGTACCAGCACCCTTTTTAGGCATCATTTTTGTCAGCGATAATTAACAGATACTTTGCAGTAAGCATCATGACCTTTTTTTTTAAACACTCTGTGAAGAGAGCCGGCACATTATTTTCTGGGAAAAATCAGCCCTGTTTATAACACAACAAAGATGGCAATTTATTGGGCACATTATGGATGAGAAATGGACAGAGAATCACCAAGCAGGCACTGAAATGGGAAACAAAAGTAGAAACCCATAGAAGAATGTTGTTGAAAAAGGCTGGGCTGGGCTGGATGACATTAATGATATCAAATATTCCACAGGGTAGAATGGATTAGAAGACTAGAGTGCAAGTCCTATCTCATGTACAACAGTAGGGCAAAATGATGAATGTGTAAAGACATTCTAGTTGTACTGTTCCCAGATTATTTCCTCATATGTCCAGCCCAACACTGTCTGTGTATTCTCTTTAGCTCTTCTTCTTTTCTTCTTTTGTCAAAATCTGCTTGTGCCGCTAGGCGTCGCAGTCTATCAGATGATCGGCAATCGAGCCAGGGCGCGCTCAGTCGCTTCATATGCCGTGATGTTATGAAGCTAGTTTGTTTACAATGAGTGAGAGATGGCTGACCTGTTCTCGAGCCCTGATTGTTGTTACGTTTGATGGATTTTCTAATCTCATATATTGTTTCTAGAGCAGATTTTTGTGAACTCTTTAACTCTTGATAGGTAAATATTAGTTGCTTTATATTAGTCTGTTGTTTATTATCATTATTTTTTATATTAATTTTTACACAATATTTGAATAGTATAATAATAGTATAATGAAGTCACTGCAGAGTCGGTTCATTTTTGTGTTGTGTTTTGTATCTTGTCACCACTGGACTGATAAAGGCTAATTTCCACAACATCCTGTAACCGGTTCTGTAAAGTTGTCTAATGTTGTTACCCCCTTTCCGTCTTTCCAGGCGACAGTGTTTATACTGTGCTAAGAAGAGGCATAGAATCACAGACCACAGAGATGCCAAGTGTGTCTAGCAACTTCCACACAACACAGTCCATGGCATCCACACACACCCCCCCCTTCTCAATGAATCTACCTCAATACCTGTACTATTCATATCCCACTTGCATCTTATGTATGGACTACGTTAACCTCTGCTTATTATAAAACTGTGCATATTAATACTCACATTAGTTATGATTGCCATTCGAGAGATAGCATACAGCACACTGTACCAGATACCTGCAAAGTAAGAGAAGTCCAAATTAAGAGAAAGTGCAAACAGATTAATGGACTCATAAGTGTAAATTATTCCCTTTACATAATTCACCTCCAATTCTATATTATGACTAATAAAAGCTAGGTGTGCCTAATTATTGGTACTGATCACAAAAGTCACCCCATCTAGTTTGGGCAGGAGATTTCCTGGCCATTTCCATGGGCTGTCCAATGATCTAGGGGTGTATTGAGATGTCTTCCTTCACAATCTATTTACACCATGACGAAAACTGGCTCGTGTTTGTTCGATGCAGTCTGTTTCTCAAGCGAAACTGTGCAGCTCTCTTTTCACAACTGTATTTTCTCTGAACGACTGTCGTTTCTCAATTTTTTTGTTGTGAATAGGCCTCAGGTGCTGAAGGCCACTGTGTGCAAGGAAGAAGTACTGCAGGGGATACTTCGTGAATATCCAATCATTGATATTTTTGTATCTTTCTGCTCAGTGGCGGTGGCTGTCGTCAGTTATGTGTGTGAAATGGTCAAAACGAGGAACACATGACACACCTAAACGATAGGTGTGTCCCAGAAAATCCCTTAAGAAATCACGTGGCTGACGCGATGGGGTGACTTTCGTGAGGTGTACATAATTAACTATACAATACTTAAATGGATTTGCTAAAAGTATCAGCCATTATCTGCTTACATTTGAATCTGTTGTCATATAAAATTGTAGATGAATTATGTAAAGAGAATAATCTAGACTTGCGATTTTTGTCTTGTTAGAACATTAATTATATCAGGTATCTCAATCCTCTTGTGCTGAGAAAATAAAATCTCGTCATAGTTACAGTCCCGTAAATGCTGATACACTGTCCTATTTGCAATAATATTTCTTGAAAAGCTTAGTTAAATTCCTATTGTTCTATGTAGGCCTGCACGGTTTAACAGGCCAGGAATATGAACACTGTAACTAAAAAAAAAAGCATTTGAGGCGGCGGGAAATAAAGGGGGAGGGAAGGGGTAGGGGCTTTTGACTACAATGGATTTTTGTAAAGGTAGGCTAACATCAAATTTTTCTGTAAACCTCAGTGATAAAGGTCACAGCATGAGTCACTTGATACTCATGTTCATTGTTTATTGAAAACTCCTTTAAAATATCATTACATATATCTAAAAAAAAAAAAAAAAAAAATGTTGATAAATATTTTTTAATCTATTAGTGAAATGTGTAAAATGGTTGTCTTTTAAGGATTGTTTCCAGGGACTACCAGGGTTAGTTCTTTTAGCACTCACAGGACGACAGGGTCAAATAAAAGCTTATTTTATACAGGCTTATTTTTTTTATTAAAGGCTTCAGAGGAAACATCTCCAATTAGTCGACTTGTACGGCAGGCTTGTCAGCGTAGGCAGTGGGTCTATTGTTTTTCCCCAGAAACAAGACCAAACAACTAGCCCTTAAAGACACACAACCATACAAAGGTATCTGAAAGCCTTAATGACCTCTCAATTCCAGCAGCACACACTAAAAAGATAAAGAGAAGCACTGGCTGACCTATGGTTGCTGACTTTTCTGCTAGTGGACGTCGTAAGTGTGCACAGAACTTGGTGGCATCAACCCTGATCTCCACAATATTGTTGAGCAAAGCAAACAGTGGAGCCAGCGGGAAAGCAGCACAAAATATAGTCAGAAAGCCAAACTGCAGCACTGGGAAATAGAAGCAATACATTGAAAGTTACCATTAATAGCTACTGCAATCAGTGACATTCTTTGTTTGTTTGTTTGTTTGTGTGGGTGCGTGCCTGCATGTGTATGTGTGTGCATGAACGCATGCGTGAACAAACTCGTGAACACTCGCAAGCGCATGGTTGATTTGTAATTTTTTAAATTTTTTATTGTTGTTTTTTAAGTTTAACATAAAAAAAAAGGAAAAAAACTTTGTAAGGAAAACCAACAAGTCCAAGTAATGTTTCCTTGCTGCAGATTTAAACACAGAAAAGTGTTGTAAATTTGAACACAGAAAAAGACACAAAAATCACACTGTCATTTTAGCATACTTTGTTAACGGAGCCCGGTTTGTGTGGAATCCTCTCGTGTTTTTTTTTTTTTTTTGGCCGTTACAAAGATGACATAAAGTTCTTGCTCTGTTCTACAGCAGGGTTGTTATATTAGTCCAAACTATCAATTTTATCCCCCCCCCCCCCCCCCCCACCCCCCAAACCAATTAATTTTGTCATACAGTGCTGTCTGTTTTCCAACCTAATCAGGATCACTCATGTGATTTGTGATGGCCAGGTTTTTTCTCTCCAACAGATATACCAATGAAGAAATTATTATCATGTAAAGAGAGTTTTAGAAGCTGTGGCAGCGTAGTGGCTAGATGCTCGCCTACCGACCTGGAAGGTCTTAGGTTCAAATGAGCAAAGACCAACGTCAGATTTTTACCAAATCTGACCTTAGTTCCTAGGCTGACAGCCTAAAAACCAGCTTTAGGTAATGTTGTAGAAAGTAAGTGCGCCATGTGTAATGTTGACTGCATCACCCACCGTGTGCCAACTACTGGTCTATAAAAATATGATTTTAGCACCACACGTCCCATGCACTACTAGCGTAAAAAAGCATCCTTGACTATTTACCCTATAAATTAGAACTTGTAACCTAGTCTAGAGCTTATAAACCCATTAGAATCAATCAATCAATCCTCCGTGTGCGTTCCAGGGCCCCATTATGGGGAAAACAAGAATAGACTCACTGCCTCCCCAAAAGCATGTCGTAAGAGTCTACTAACTGGGGAGCTTCCTTTGAAGTCGGAGTGCATCTGCCGGAGAGGCAAGGAACCAACAGTCTGTATTCAAGAGAATGAGATCTGTAAAACTGACGCATACGCAACACTCAGGTTCTGGAGCAGGACTGCAGTTCACTAGTGGATGAGCAACCAGAACTTTCCGCCAGTGTACAGCTGGTGAAGGCGAAGAAGAAGAAGAAGAATCAATCAACCAGTCAATCTGCATGTCTTTTACAGAAATTCGCTCTTTTCACGGCACAACTCAAAGTCTATCTTTCTCTAGCCCTGTGTGGTTTTATACCCAATACATCTTCAGTGTCTTGTATCCACCTTCTCGGAGGTCAAACTCTGCATCATTTTCTGAAAACTGCATCCTCCAGACCACCATGGCGTTCTCATGTCCAAAATACTTCAGCTGTAGAAGGGGGATGCTGTTTACGAGCCAGTTCTCCTTGATATTACCAATTTAAGAAAATAATGAAAAATTAACAAGACAGCAATGGAGACAAACCCATTTCCAGATATTCATAAAACAATGACATTGTCTCTGCTGAGTCCAAGATGTAATCCTTCTCCCATGGAGTCCGAGCCAGTTTCTGCTCCCTGGTCTCCGAAGACAGCTTACGTTTGATGAACTTGATAACCTTTCTGTTGATAAGAAAAGAAAGGAAAGACTGCAGTCAGCAGAGTGAACACTGAAACCTTCTTCTTCTTTTGTGTTTAACCTTAACAGGGTAAATTGGTTGTGATGTAGTTTACAGCTTGACTTCAATATCTGTGCCTTTCGACCCAACACATTTCAATATTTGGGCAAACCCTTAATTAGATATGCTCGCTAGAGAGCAGTGGGTCTACCCCTCACATCCACCAAAAAGGCCCCTGGAGAATACGAGAGGAAGAACTGGAACATCAATTTGAAGTCTTCTTATTCTTCTTCTTCTCATCTTTTTGTCGTTTTCACCGTCTGTAAACTCTGGTAGAAAATTCTGGTTGTTCATCCACTCCTGGACTTTGGTCTTGATCCAGAACTTGAGTTTTGCATGCACATCCATCTTACAGATCTGGCTTATCTGCATGCAGACTGTTGCTTCCTTGCCTCTCAGTCAGATAAACTTTAACTTTGAAGGAAAGACAATTAGCTACCCCTTATAACATGTTTTTTGTTGGGGTGGTGGCTCTATTCTTTGTTCTCCAAAATGGAGCCTGGGAACTCAAACATGGAAAAGTTTGGCAAGCAAGACCAAGTTCGATGGAGTCACCATGATTATGTGCCCTGCCTACTGGCGTAGGAACTCATGCATCTCCACAGATCACGATTTCCGGTTGCCTGGAACGGCTCTTTTGATGATATCCCTCCATGCCATCATTTCAGTCCATCCAGCATCATCTCTCTTGTTCTGCCTCTACTCCTTTTTCTGCTGATCTTTCCGGTTGTCACGATGTTCTCCAATGTCTCTCTTCTTATTATGTGGCCAAAGAACAGTGTTTGTCTCTTTCTTATTATTTGATGTAGTCATGTATATTAAATTTTGAAAATATCTGACTGATTTCTGTCTCAAGAGAATGTTTTTTGAGTCTGCTGTATTATATATGTAGTTCACCTGAAGGACGAACAAGTATACAGACATGAAGTTCCCTGTACGGGTTCCGGGGTCCTTTTATAGGGAAAACAAGAATAGACCCACTGCCAACCCAAAAGCAGGTCGTAAGAGTTGACTAATTGGGAGCTTCCTTCAAAATCGGAATGCATCTGCTTGAGAGGCAAGGAACCAGCAGTCTGCAAACAAATAAGTCAGATCTGTAAAACAGATGCACACGCAACACTCAGGTTCTGTATGGCCTTAAGAAGGCATTCCATGACTAAAACTCATATGCAGTTATTCAACGGAACTGGTCTGAATGTAGAATGTTGTCACTTCATTTCTGAGTAAATATGAGAACAAGCTCAAGACAGAGGCTTGTCTGGAAGATACCTCACACAAATTCAAAATATCAAAGATCAGTGTTATAGAGGTAACTAAATTTCTGTCAAATATGAACAAATGATTGATGAACAAACACACTTTATTTTTAAAGGCTTACAAACTGGGCATGTAGCTCCGTCTTACATTTGGCCCTTGTAAGAACTCATCTTTCAGACAACAACTGCATGTTATCAGTACAGCATATTATTTTTATATTACAAAATTTGTAATGAAATATTGCATACACACATTATATATATTCAATCATACATACTAAAAATACACACATAATCTTACATGCTCATACCTACATATACATGCAAACACACATACACTTATATATACACCCTCAACAAATACATACATGCACTTATGCTCATACAGACATATACATGCACCCACACTTATGCATTCACATAACATAAATAGACACTCATATACATATTTATACACACACACCTGCACTCATATATACACAAGCACACATCCATACACATACACACATACATTCACACATATACACTCGAGTGCATGCATGCATTCACAGATATATATTCACACATCCACACACTCATACATCTGGCCGACATTTTACACTCTTTAAACCTTAACATAACCCTAGGTCCTTATCAATTTTTATCCCCTTTATCAGTCACACACACTAAACAACAATAACACACACAAACCTTGCGGCTTAAATCAGTTAAACAAGATTGTTTCTATCTTAAACCAACCAGTGACCTATGATCATGGCTTTTTTATAGGAAACAAAGTGACTGTACTCACCACAAAGTGCCTTAAAAAGGTGGTTGTTCTCACTACAAAGTGTCTATTACAGCCGTGCTAAAAAAATTATGCAGACAAAAAATTAGTGCCAGTACTGTATACTGTGCAGAATAAAACCACTCCTTACTTCTCAGGCAGCTGCATTCTAAATCTGAAGGAAAAGAGATTATGAAACTTCACTCACAACTCCCAAGTCGCAGACATGAATGGTATAAACAAAATAAATGAAGAAATAAAAAGAAGAAATAAAAATAAAAATCAAATGAGATGAACTTACGGAACAACAATCTCAATGAAGTTGTTCTGAATGAGCTGCTTCCCTACCATGATGATGGCCAGCTGGATACAGAGTTCAATCAGGCAACCTCCAGCCTCACACTAGCAACAAGAAATACCACAGTTATTGCAAGCAAAGTCTTACAAGAAAGATAAACTTTCCGGTAACAAACATGTCAAGAACAGAATACCATATTATTCCTTACATACAATTACCCTGTGTATAAGATGACCCCATGTAAAAAATGACCTCATGTATAAGATGATCCCACGTATAAGATGACCTCATGTATATGAGGATCCCATGTATACGAGGACACCATGTATATGAGGACCCCATGTATATGAGGACCCACGTATAAAATGACCCCACGTATAAGATGACCTCATGTATAAAATGACCTCATGTATAAAATGACCTCATGTATAAAATGACCTCATGATTCTGAGGACCCCATGTATATGAGGACCCCATGTATATGAGGACCCCATGTATATGAGGACCCCATGTATAAGATGCCCCCATGTATAAGATGGCCTTCATTTTAATCTGTGGTCCAAAACTATGAAATAAACAATTATTACAAATATTCTGTGTATAAGATTACCCCAATTTTAAACTTTAAAATTCTGGGACAGCATTTCTTCTTCTTCTTCTTTCCTCTTCTTCGTTTGCTGCTGAAGATGGGGACTGAGCACTTACGGGAATGTCCCGAGTGATGTGATGTCTATTCTCAATTCAATATTCTTTTTTCCTCTACTCCTGGAATGCATAGCGTCAGGACAGGAAGAGATCTCTGGAATGGGCCCTTTGTATTTAGTACTTTCAGTGTTTCCAATATTTTTGTGATCTTCTGCATGGTCGAGTTGTTGCTCTATTACCACTGTGTATAACACTGCTCTCTGTGATGCCCTGACTCATGCCAATCTTGTCACATGACCAAACCATTTGATCTGTTGTCTACCAATAAAGTTCAGTATTAGTTTTGTGCCAACTCGCCTCCTGATATCACTGTTACTAAGTTGATTCTTCCTTGTTACATCTAGCATAGTTAACTAGTATACAATTTAAAATTGTTCTTTTTCTCTTATGACCTCATTTCTGATTTTCCTGTCTTCTTGCCACTCCTGCAGCCCTGCCCAGACATCTCATTCCAGACTGGAAAGGACTAATTTTAACAACCTACAATTAAAGAGTTTGGAAACTTACTTCTTCCTGCCTGCCACCAAAAATTGTTCTGTACTTTCCAGGTCTGCCTACAAATCTGTGACCAAACACACACAAGCAAGTTAATTTTAGCATTTATTGTTAATGTTACAGTCCGTTCAAAAAGTCATGCTAAACTTTAAAAATCTGTAACTCAATAATCGTTTAATGTAAATTCATGAAATTTTACATGCAACCTGTTAATTCCGTTCTTGTAGGAAAAAAACTATAATGTAAACAAATATATAGTTGTTAATTTAGCCACTGCCTAAAGTCGTCATGTCATCAAAAACCTGCAAACTCAGAAAACTAACTTTGTCTGGGCGACAGGATTGAACTCATTAACTCAAAAACTGGCAGATAGACAGGCAGGTTTTGCACAACTTGCTGGTGAACTGATACATGACAAGCTAGGTGTTGTAAGGGTCCTTTGGAGGCAAGTGAACAGTGCGGTAGCACAGACGGATCATCATGGTCTGAGAGAATGGCACTATGAGGAGGGACCAGGGGATATGGTCGACGATCAGCACTCAAGGGAAAGGTGAGAGGTGAGACGGATATACAATCAGACTGGTATTGGTACCATAGGAACTGGAACTCTGCGCTTGCTGCTGAAGATGAATACGGAGCGCTTATGGAAATGTCATTTGTGCTGTGATGTCGATTCTTAATTAAACATTAAACTCATAAACTTAAAAAAAAAAGACATGCTGTAGAAAATAAATGTGTTCACGATGTGTTTGAAACAAACATGCTTAAAATTTTACATTTAGCTTGCACATTGCAAACATTTGCTCTTTGTTAATCGAACATATAAGTAAAGTAAGTAAAGTTCCCTTTTCACGCCTTTCGGCGCATCAGGCATATGGGCAGAGCGTCCCATATTTTTACAGACCATCAGCACTCTGTGGGTAATGTGGTCAGCATTACGCCGGCTGTCTTTACTTTCCCAGGACAGCCCATCCTGGTACCCATTTTGGGCTGGGTCGACCTGCGACGTCCCATACCACGATAAAAATTCACGCAGCCTGCAGTGGGTTTCGATCGTGGTATGCTGGTTTACCAGTCAGACTCGCAACGCCTTAGCCACGGACGCCGCAATCGAACATATACCATTTAAAAAAATAAAATTACTTTTTTCCTTCACTCTACCAATGCAACAAGTATAGTACTATATGTTTCTTACAGAAACTGTCATTTAATGTACTTCTAAATACTGAATCAAATCAAAATTAAATGTCTGGTGCATCGCTAATAGGAGGTTTTGAGCTGAAATGGCATAGAAAGATTTTCTGAATACCATGGACCAAGAAGAAAAGAAATGTTGACATTATAAAAGATCTTAACATCAATCAAGATCTGCTCATAAAAAAAAACATCTTGTCTCGGAAACTGAAATACTGTGGTCACTTCCGGTGCCAAAATGGTTTGGAAAGAACAGAAGCGGAGGACATAGTGTCAAGCTAGAGGGGCAGAGGCTGACCAGCAAGAAGACTGGCAAAGAATGTGGAAGACACCGTGGGTAAGAGAGTTCGTGATGTGGGAGAGCTGATGGGAGACCGAGTTTCCTGCAGGTTGTGTGTGTTGACAGCATTGTTCTGTACAATCTATTTCATGATGATAATGATGATGATGATGTGCATCCTTAATCTATACAAAAATGAGTAGTACTTACTGGCCCTTGAAGAAAGCGATGTAGAAGATTGATGAGAAATAGTTGACAAACTGGAGAATAAACAGTTTGACGGTGATGCTGCTGTCATATTCACTCTGTGTGCGCAGGCACTCCCAGTCCGTCAGCCAGAATGCCAGGTGACCATACACCTAGCACAGTCACCAGACAGGTCCATAAACAATTGTAGAAAATGTATATCCAACATCGGCTCTACTTGGAATAACGGTTCTAAATGAACTATGCAGAAAGTTAACCCAAACAGAGCCTCACATTGCAGATAGTTAACGCGAACAGAGCCTCACACATATGTAAAAGTCGCATTTCTTTTGCGGCGATTCAACCGTGTCAAAAGTAGTATTAACTGCGCACGACATTTTCGTGAAACGCAACAGATTTTTTACGGCGATTAGATGGCGGCAAAACAAGGATTAACTGCATACAAAAAAAATTACCGACACGCGACAATACTCCCGATAGCACCATCCTACGGCAGGGCCTGAGTTATATGTAAGTTGCCGATCGCTTTTCGCCGACTATAGTGCCACCTCCGAGAGTATCCCCCTCGCCGCTACGCGTGGCGCGGAGGGGGCTAAACTAGATGGCTGGGACTCACAGTTTAGTTCCTTCCGCGCCGGGCGTAGCGGCGCGGGGGATACTCTCGGAGGTGGCACTATAGTCAGCGAAAGAAGAAGTTCACATTTTGCACGTTAATGACCACAGGTCAGCGTACGTTTCCGGCCTCGACCTTTTGAAATGTGTGTAGGGCAGGACGTAATGAGGCTCTGTTTGGGATTAACTTTCTGCGTAGTTCATTTAGAACCGTTATTCCAAGTAGAGCCCCAACATCCATTTCTTCAAGCCATAAGTAAAAAAAAAAAAAGAGTTAAAGTAAAGGACCATTTTCCACGCCTTTAGGTGTATAGGCATAAAGGGCTAGACCTATATTTTATAGACCAACGGCACAAGATGGGTGATGTGGTCAGTATCACGCAGGCCGCCTTTACTTTCCAGGACTGCACCTGGTACCCACTCAAGGCTGGGTCGACCTGGGAGCCAAGGTCATTTTGAAAAAAGTCGGTTCCGCCAGGGAGCAAACCCACGACCTTCCAATCCGCTGCTACACCACGCATCCCAGGGCCATTTAACTCAGTTTACTTAGGGACCAAAGTATTGTAAAATGGGAATCAACATAGCCAGAAGTCCAAGCCCCAGTGTAGAAAGATCACTAATACACTACAACTGGCAGGTGATCCGAGAGCCACTTGTTAGACCTATGCAGGTAATGTTCATCATGTTTAGACATTGTTCCTCATATTTTTACACACTTTATTATTATTCTTTTGTCGTCTCAATGATACCAGTTGCAGCCCGGTGTCCTTGTTTTCTGTATTTGTCTTGCGCTTCTCGGGTGACCTCAGTGATAGATATGTTCATCTTTTTTTTGCAAGTTTCAGCCACACCATTTATCCATCTCTTTCTTGTTCTTCCTCCCACCTTCCTCCCAAATGCTCTACTGTAAAAAGTATCATATGCAGTCTGGTCTGTCTGCATTCTCACTAGGTGGCCAACCTTTTATTCTTTGCCTGTCAATATAACCCAGACATGGTCTTATACCAACTATGTCTCTAATTTAGGTATTTGTAACCCTGTCTCATCTAGTGTTGTTAGTGACAGTCTGTTATTAATTTCCTATAAAGATATTTTCTAAAGACTTTTGGCATGTGGTCTATCATATTTTCCAAGGTCCAGGAAAGTACAGGCAGCCAGCGTGATGCTGACCACATCACCCACCAAGTGCCGATTAGTCTATAAAATATCAAATCTCCCTGAAGCCAATTTTAATAACTGATCTGGGCTCCCATGTTGACTTAACTGAAAATTATCATCATCATGTTGTGCTATTATATGTCTATTCTTCCATTCTGCTATATCATGCGCAATTACTTCAATATTAATGATCGAATCCAGTCCGGCAGCTTTGGTCCCTACCATCTATGCTTGTTTTAGGGTTTCTTTTGGGCATCCCCTGCTCCTTATTTCCCAATTTAGTGCGTTTGGTGATTCACTGCTCATTTCATCTAAGGATGTGTCTAATGTAGCACCATCTTCTCTGTCTTATAACTATTGACACTAGTGGTTTCCCAAACATTTCTCTTATTCCTTCACCCCTCTTGATTTTATTCCATTTGATGTTTATCATTCGCCTCAGGCATTTTGTCTAGTCGAAAATGGATACCATTCAATTTTCTGAGAAATTAAAGATTTCCTTTTCCTATATCTTTTTTATTTGGCTTCCCTGGAAAATCCTTCTTCTGCTGCTTTCTCTTCTGGGGTTGTTAGCATATTGTGTTGCAATTTACAGCTAGGCTGTGATATCTGCCTCACTTGGTCAAACATATCTGATTTCAGCAAACCTTTCATTAGTCAGTTTTACAACATACTTGTTATGGGGCAGTGGGTCTAATCCCCCCTCCCCCAAATGGGGCCCCAGAACCCACACAGGGTGGATAATCTTTTTTTTTTTTTTTTTTCAAAAGTGGAGGACAGATCCCAAACTAAGCCTGCCTTTGCTGCTCAACAATTGCAAGAAGTGGCTTTTTTAAAAACCTCTCTCTGGCAGGCATTTTAAAAACACTTACCATATTGAGAACAATAATGATGACAAGATTGATGAGAGCAGCGGTCACTGTGGTCACCAAAGAAGCGTTCTCATAAATAAGCCCAGCAGTGGCAGTGACCACAGTGTTGTTGCTGGACACCTGCCTGGGGATCAGCTGTAGGGCTGCCAGGGTGGACACACGGTAAGCAATCACTCCAATCACAGCTGACAATGCCACCCCAGCCTTTGGAGATGTGGAATTGAAAATACAGTTTTTTGAAAATCAAGTGGCTTCTCACAGAGAATTTAAACAATGCAGACACAACCAATACATTGTGCGGCATGTTGTACTGAATCTTATCAAGTGCATTACTAGAGTTACATCAACATTTAAGGAAGCATAGAAACTAAATCCTTTCCACAAAAATAAATAAATCACATTGTCTTTTTTAGATACACTGTTAATCTTTCCACCAGAAGTTCAACACAGCCACGTGGCTAGTATAGTATTTCACATTTACCACAAGATATTTCTGTCGGCATAAAGCAGGATTGTTAATTTGTACTATATACATATTTTTAGTAAATACACTGACAATGAGTGATATACAACTCATTCACTGGGGCATTTCTTATCATCATTATATTCTACTTCTTCTACTGCCCCAAGACAAAAACAGAGCATGTATGAAATCCACTGCAGCCAACCTTCAGTGTGGAGGCAGCACAGGATTGATTGTGGGGAGGAATGGTTGAGGGTCCAACGCTCGATGAGTGGCACTAGCTATTATCATTGCATGTGAAAGCAGTATCTTTAACTCTGTTTCCCCACCCCCATGTGGAAGCAGTATCCTCTGTTCCCCCCCCCCCCCCCCACCAAAGCCATGAATACAGCATTTTTGCCTGAAACTTATTCCCATAAATGCTGCTGCTTACCCAGCATTTCTGCTATGATCTGTCCCCAAGTAGCCTAGTTAAGGATATAGGGTTTTGTTGGCACCTGCACTGTGTTTAAGAGGCTCAGATATGAAAATACTGATTTACAAATAGATTTTAGGGGAGGGGGGTTTCTTGGGAACAAAACGGCCTTTTTACAGCCATTTTAATATCATAATGTTGTTGCAGCCTTAGTGTTAAGTGTTAGAATTTTGATGAGGTCACAGTACGAGGCACCTACCATAGAGTTTTAGACCCCGAGGAACGTGTTCCATTTAATGCCTCACCTCACTTACGTTTACTGATTATTCCGTTATAAAAATGCAGGAAAAAGTTTCAAATATGAAGATAACAATATTTATAAAAGTTTATTGGTGACTAGTGTCAAACAGTTTATACATTTTTAAAATATTTTTTTAAAGGATTTTTCTTTGACTGGAAATTCTCAAAGGATCCTTCCTTTCTCAAAAGCTTTCCAGGACAAAAGAGTTAATGCTGTCAGTTTATCTTTCCCTTGGGTGCCCTTTTACTCTTAGACCAGTTCTTCTTAAAACAAACATTACTAAAAAAAATTTTTCACAACAAAAAATATCCATCAATTTCTTCATATGTCCTTCAGAACATCACTACTTTCTTGTTCACTTTATAAAATAAATTTATGTTAAACTCTTTCCCCCCCCCCCCCCCCCCCCAAAAAAAAAATTACAACAACAACACCAATTTGCTTTAGATTTCTGTAGATAAAGCATCATAATATATTTATAATATATTCAAATTATCTTTGGACTCTTTCATACTGGGCCACATAAAGATGTTTAGCAAGTTTTTATAGACAGCAAAAACACAGAATCAACAAATAACCCATTTTTAACAAATAAAAACTAAAGAACCCTTTTTCACACCTTCAGGTGTATTGGGCATGTAGGGCCTGCCTTTTTTTTTTTAATGGACCCATCGGCACTTGGTGTGTGAGGTGGTCAACACCACACTGGCCACCTTTACTTCCCAGGACAGTACCTGGTACCCATTTAAGGCTGGGTAGACTTGGGAGCCAAAGTCATTTTTGGAAGAAAAAAAACAATGTCCAGCTCCATTTAAATCTGAACCCACAACCTTCAGATCCTCAGGCGAGGGTCTAGCCACTACACCATGACGGCTCCCTCTTACAGAAAATAACAGCTACAAATCTGCGGACACAAACATTACTACACACATAAAAAAGCAAACCATTACCAGTAACAGCATAATAGAGTACGACGTCAGGAAAATGGGAAATCGCCGCCGCCAAAATGGCAGATGAGGCTCTTTCAGCTGGGAAAATAGATGAAAGAAGATTTTAGGATAAAACATGTTACTGGCGCCTTCATACCAAAATATATTTAAACACAGCATCTTGGCATTCATCATCATCACCAACATGTGCTGTGCTGAAAGAAAAGGCTGTCATGTTTCCCAATCTCATACTGTCACCAGAATCACAGATTAAGTCAGTGTTCTTTTTTTCCCCTATCGTTCCATGATATTCTTTGTTTTTCTATCATACCATGACATTCTCTGCCTTCTTCTCCAAAACCAAATACCAGCTGTCAAGGAGAATCTAAAATCCAAGGAAATATAAAAATATAAAAGCCAAGGACATAGAAAAGACAGGTGAAAGCTAAGGAAATAGAAAAGACAGGTTAAAGCTAAGGACAAAGAAAAGACAGGTTAAAGCTAAGGACAAAGAAAAGACAGGTTAAAGCTAAGGACAAAGAAAAGATAGTTTAAAGCCAAAGAAATAGAAAAGACAGGTTAAAGCTAAGGACAAAGAAAAGACAGTTTACAGCCAAAGAAATAGAAAAGACAGGTTAAAGCTAAGGAAATAGAAAAGACAGGTTAAAGCTAAGGACATAGAAAAGACAGGTTAAAGCTAAGGACACAGAAAAGATAGGTTAAAGCTAAGGAAATAGAAAAGACCGGTTAAAGCCAAGGAAATAGAAAAGACCGGTTAAAGCCAAGGAAATAGAAAAGACAGGTCAAGGCCAAGGAAATAGAAAAGACAGGTCAAAGCCAAGGAAATAGAAAAGACCGGTTAAAGCCAAGGAAAAACAAAAGACCGGTTAAAGCCAAGGAAATATAAAAGACAGGTTAAAGCTAAGGAAATAGAAAAGACAGGTTAAAGCTATGGAAATAGAAAAGACAGGTCAAAGCCAAGGAAATAGAAAAGATAGGGCAAAGCCAAGGAAATATAAAATACCGGTTAAAGCCAAGGAAATATAAAAGACCGGTTAAAGCCAAAGAAATATAAAAGACCGGTTAAAGCCAAGGAAATAGAAAAGACAGGTTAAAGCCAAGGCTAAGGAAATAGAAAAGATCGGTTAAAGCCAAGGAAACAGAAAAGATAGGTTAAAGCAAAGGAAATAGAAAAGACAGGTTAAAGCCAAGGAAATAGAAAAGATAGGTCAAAGCCAAGGAAATAGAAAAGATAGGTCAAAGCCAAGGAAATAGAAAAGACAGGTCAAAGCCAAGGAAATAGAAAAGACAGGTCAAAGCCAAGGAAATAGAAAAGACAGGTCAAAGCCAAGGACATAAAAAAGACAGGTCAAAGCCAAGGACATAAAAAAAGACAGGTCAAAGCCAAGGAAATAGAAAAGACAGGTCAAAGCCAAGGAAATATAAAAGACAGGTCAAAGCCAAGGAAATAGAAAAGACAGGTAAAAGCCAAGGAAATAGAAAAGACAGGTCAAAGCCAAGGAAATATAAAAGACAGGTCAAAGCCAAGGACATAAAAAAAAATAAGGTTAAAGCTAAGGAAATATAAAAGACAGGTCAAAGCCAAGGACATAAAAAAAGACAGGTTAAAGCTAAGGAAATATAAAAGACAGGTCAAAGCCAAGGACATAAAAAAAGACAGGTTAAAGCTAAGGAAATATAAAAGACAGGTCAAAGCCAAGGACATAAAAAAAGACAGGTTAAAGCTAAGGAAATATAAAAGACAGGTCAAAGCCAAGGACATAAAAAAGACAGGTTAAAGCTAAGGAAATATAAAAGACAGGTAAAAGCCAAGGACATATAAAAGACAGGTAAAAGCCAAGGACATAAAAAAAGACAGGTCAAAGCCAAGGAAATACAAGAGAAAGTATACACTGATTTGTTCATATTACGGGGCTAAAACAAGATGTTCCCACAAACTGTCTGGAGTGGTGCAGCATGGATAGGTTTCCTTTGATCATATCTGGTACATTTACTATTTACAAACTCTTACAATGGAAGCTACTTACTCCAGTGACTGGGTTTTCTTTCATAGTTTTCCAATTCTCCAGCTTGGACAGATATTCAGGTCTTGGTGGTTCCTATAGATGTCAACAACATTTCAGCAAGGATTCATCCTTTCACACATGAAACTCAAGTTCAAGGCAAAATTTAAAAACTGGTTTATTATAAAAGACCAAAAGCCAAGAAAATAAAAGACAGCAAAGCCAAGAAAATATAAAAGACAGTCAAAGCCAATTTTAATAAGAGAGTTTATCCTCAAAATGTAAAATGCAGTCTTGTAACATAAATAACAGCTAGAACAAACAAAAAATTAATATGATAAAAATTAAATAAAAAAAAAAAATAAAGCTATTTCAAAAAGAGACAACAAACATGAGGTAACAACTAGTTTTTACCAAATATGGACAAATTAGGTCTTGGTGGTTACTAAGCAAACAAAAAAAGGATTCATATGAAACTCAAGTTAAAAATTCAGATGGCACAGAGATTTATCCTCAAGTAACAGCTATGATAAAGACAGCTAGAAAAAATTAAAAAAAACTAAAAAACTTGTCCATTATATATGCAGCCAACCAATGTATGGTGTTTTGTGATGTCTGGTTGCCAGTATATGTTAACCTCTTCAGTACCAGAAGGCGTAAGAGATGCTAAAGTGAAGAAATATCCATGTTTAAAATTCATGAATGCATTGCTTTCAAAGTGGTAATGTAACATAACAGCAGTAGTTATCAGTGGAGAAGCCAGTTTTCTTAAGTATGTACTGATCAAACGTAAAAAGTAAGACAGCACATTAGGCTAAGGAGGGGGATTCAGCGGACAGAGTGATTCACGCATGATGCGTTGTTTGCGACAGAGAGTGCTAAATAAATAGAACCTCAACTATTTAACTTTATCAGTACCAGACATATATTATTTCACATTCTATCCCACAAAGGTTTTACTTTAATAAACAAATGTTTGGGCTGGATGGAGTTGAAATAATAATACTATAAGAGTAAAGGAGTTAAACTAACAACTGCAGAAGATTGTATTAGCGTAAGAACTGTATGTAGTATAAGGTATTGGAAAAAAATATATGTTAGGTAATCAGGCAATCACAGTTCCAATTTCACAGCAAAGGGGTCACCCCATGGTTGCTCTGTTCTGGTGCCCCCCCCCTCCCCCCACAAAAAAAAAATCACAGTGTCCATCACTGTCCCATGTGGAAAAAACTGACACATGCTGCGGTCTCAGCAAAGCCAACAGCACACAGACAGATATAAAATGCATAAGACAGCCATCAAAAGTGTCAACACAAACACTCTGGCCCTAGAAATGCAGTTTATCGTCATTAGAAGCAGAAGTTACAATAAATCAGTAATAGCACAGGTATTTAATCACAGAGGGAACCGCCAGTCCTGTGGCAACAGGCCACTACCATTTTCTGAATCTGAAATTCACAATACAAAAAGCATTCCAAATGAAACCTGCAGCTTACAGTGCTGCACCATGCACTTAACTCAGTAGCTGAGCTAAGGAGAAATATACTTTCAGTCTATGTATGGAGGAAAATGCAATGACTAACTATTACCAGACGCAAAATTTGCCAAGACTAAAAACCTAACATTGACTGGTATAAAAATATGGACAACAAAATATCCCCAGTACATTGCATGCCATGTAAGGGATTCTTGACTTTACTTACAATATATAATCAACCTTTAAAAGCTGATAATTCAATTAATTTTAATTTATTAAACTAATTTAAACTTATCTAAACATAACATGACAACAACAGGAAAGCTGGAGGGGAATAATGAAAAGAAAAGGACCCTTTTTCGCACCTATGGCACATCACACATATAATGCTTGACTTATCTGTATACACCGACTGGCACTAGTTGGGTGATGTGGTCAGCATCATGCCAGCCGCTTTTACTTCCAAGGACATTACCTGGTACTAATTTGTAGACTGAGCTGATCTGGGAGCCAAGGTCAGTTTTGAAAAACAAATCTGTCTCGTTGCGGATTTGAACACAAGATCTTTCAAGCCAGCAGGTGGGCTTCTAGTCATCAGGGAGACGAGAAGGCAGACAACAGATATGTAGAACAAGCTAAAAAATTTACCTCTTCCTCCACGAATGTGGTCAGGTCCCACTTGTATTGAATTGTTGCCTGTTTTCTCTTCCAAAACTCCAGAAACAGTGTCCCTGTTCAGAAATCACAAAGCACATATAAACTCCTAATTAAGTTTAGATGATTTTCCTACACAAACCCAACAATAAATTTTCATGCAATATTTAACACATTCTGTAGAACAAAGTCTTTGGTAACCAAATCAATAAATGCAATAGTTAATCAAGGCAACATCCACTTCTTTTTGGTTTAGTTTGTAGGAAACTGCTTTCAACTGGTAGCTGAAAAGGGAAGGGGCAAAGTGTTGAGGTTAGGCAACTGCCTTTGGCTCAAGCACATTTATGTGAAGGGCTATCAATATATAACAAAAGATAAGATCAGAAATGGCAAAATCCGAAGGAGAATGGGGTAGCGGCAGCTCTGGATTTCATTAGAAGGCAACAGGTGAAATGGTTTGGCCAAATAAAGCAGATGTCTGCAGACAGTATACCACAGCAGGCAATGATGTGCAGACTAGGCAGGAAGCAAAGAAGAAGCGGACCATGCAAGCGACGGGCAGAGGGAAATACAGAGTTCATGGGAATCCTAATTTATGAAGAACACAGGCTCTTTCCCGTAAATTATACTTCACCTCGACATGGGTACAAACAAGAGGACCATGATGAGAAGATGAGATATAATGAGACTTTAGTTAGGAGACAGATAAGTATTTTCTCCAAACTGAAACTTCCCTCACATGTAAAAACTGGACACTCCACATGAACTCCATATGGCATTTTAACAGACAACTCCATATGGCATTTTAACAGATAAACCACACAAGGACACACATAAATTATATGATGTATGAACATACATACCCCATAAGGACATAAAGATTGCAAAGAAGACTGTGGCCCCATTATCAAAGATTCTGCTGGCTCGAGCATGAGAACAGGCATCACTGAGTTTCCAGTAGGGGCACCGGGCATCACACAAAGGGCACATGGTGATGTTGTTGTAAGGGTCACACAGCTCCTTGCTTCAAAGAACATGTGGGATAAACATAAACATCACAACAGATGGTCACAGCGCAAGGGAAAATAAAAAATTGGAGGAAAAACCTAAAACAGTATATTGTAAAATTTATTGCCTGGCTCATTTTGCTCCATATCATTATGTGCATACTTCTTCTTCAGCATCCCGTGTTCTTGTGACGAAACGACCTCAGTGTTTTCAGAAGTTAGTACGCGCAATAATTTCTTCTGTTTAAAGAGAGACAGAGAATTATTTTTACTATGCCCTACGCCCGAAAATTACTAAAACCACATGGATTTAAGTGTTACCAGCCCTTAGCCCAGACAAAGCAGCCAGGCGTTGTTTAATATTAAATAACATTGGGATTACCTAATATAGCCAGGGTCTACCTGGGAAAGTTCAGACTTAGTGGCTGTAGGGTTTGATTGTAGAACTGAAGTGTGATATAATTATCTCCTGACCAGAGAACCTTAGGAGCAGGTAACTGCTCATAAACTAATTATCCCCCCTGAGATTATCTTCCTTGAGCTGCAGACCCTAGTGTCATAAAGGTTACATCATCGGCCCTTTCAACAGATAAGATAAGGGGAATTAACCTGGTCAAGTAGGAAAGTCCAAACATGGCGGCGTCCCCTGGACCAGCGTTTCACACAGGTTAGTTAGATTACTAGTAAACTAGATTGGCCCACTTAAGAACGTTTGCTCAGAGTGGTGGCTGTCAAGAATTGACTGACAGACACCTTGATAGCTAATTTAATCTGCAAGGTACTTCAGGGGACTTCATAGGCGTGGCTTAGATCTTCTCCGATAGGACAGGTTAGATACTAGAAAGGGGAGGACTTTAATTTAGACAATAGATAAGTACTTATATGCTAGCATCTAAGATTTACTTCATAGTGCTTCTAGCAAGCCACAAACTTAGATCAACAGTAGAAAGTAATTCTAACTAGTTGAGTCCTGTTTGGCAATTGCCGGAATGCTACCAGCTCCCGTTGGGATGAAGACCAGTCTGCTCTGATAGAACTAGACGGTCACGTGCACAAACCTACATTGTGGGAGATTGGCAAGCTGGAAACAAGCTGGGAACACACAGAGAAGGAGGTGGAACCAGTTGGGAAGAAACGGGAAGAGGTGGAAAAGCTTGACAGTGCCTCACGGCTGTCAGGGGTTTTATCAAAGTTACGTCCACACATTGTTTGTAAATTTATCACCATCATCACACCACTCTAATCCCAGGTGCTCAGTTTTCTAGCTGAAGCATCTCATCACTACCATACCATCAGCCAGTCACTGTTTGTGTAAAGATTACAAACTGGGGAATTTAATTTAATTGATTGTTAGTTTTATACTACATTGTTTGTTAAATTCCAAGTGTATTCAGTCTTACGTAAACAGTTAGATAAATCTACAATTGGTGGGAGCTCATTAACAAATTAATACCAGGAGAGGAGAAAGTCAGAGGGGTTAACTGTGTATCTTGATATCTCATTGGGTTCATCTTGATATCTATCTATCCGTTCTCCTACTCCTGTGGGTACCGAGTGCAGGTGTTGTGTATTTACATGATGAGCCAAATATGGCTGTTTTCTTGGATATCCAGGACTTTGTCTGAGATCAACATAGCTCGGATAATAGTCTAGTTTCTCTGGTGGAGGTGAAGTGTTAAGAAGAAAATTCCTACTCATCACAAAAGCATCAATCCACTTCAGAACCCGCGACAGTTCTTGAGGTTCAATACTGCAGATAGACCCATCTCCTTTAATCTCTGTTGACTGGTCTTCTCTTTCCAGTTGGTGACTCAGTGTTTTTAGATGTGCCTGTATTTTATCTCAAGGACTTCTTCATCTGCTTTGTGCTCTTCCCCTATTTAACTCTTTTGTGTACGCAGTTTCTGTTTCCCTATTAAACTGGGCATTTTTCAAACCACTGAGGATATTCTTTGAATTGAAAGAGGTCCTAGGTGGTTTGAAAATTATCCAGTTTGGTATGAAAAAATGTCCTGGGTGGTTTGAAAACTATCCACTTTGCTTCGAAAACCAACCAGTTTAAAAATATGCTATATATGCTGTTAATTTGTCTAACTTTTAAAGCACAAAATAAAATCTTAACTGTTTTGACTGCCTGTATTTACCATGTCTCGGGCAGTGCAGAACAAGTAGTTCATAAGCCTGAGGAGTTAGTGCTGCACCGCTACTGTAGTCATAACAGACTGTGTGCATGTTAGGACTTTACTTTTATTCCCGACAGGACAAAATCCATGGCCCCACCAAGGGTACGAACGCAACCTCCTGAACGAAGCCCAGCATTAGAAAACCACTTGGCTAGCAGCTCCTCTAAAAACCTCCAACCTTCTTCTTCTTTCTTCCTACTACTTATGCTGTAAAGTATTACAGAGAGGAGTCAGATACAGAAACCTGATTCTCGGACACGCTCAGCAAGCCATTCGAGAACTTAATTGTTCAAACACATATACTAAAGATAAGAAGGGGAAGAAAACACTGTATTAATTTACACAAAATACAAGTGGACAAGATAAACCTTACCTGGCCACATTAGTGTACATGATGGCCAAGCCGTAAATGAACACAACCAAGCCCACGACAGTGGCAGGTACCAACATTGTTGTGTAGAATCCCAGCCAGGCGAAGTACAGAGCAATCTTCTCTCCAAAGTACTGTCTACAACAGAGATAAATATTCAGAATGGCGGTTTGTTTATGATACCAAATGGCATCAGGTTATCATGTCCAATAAAAGTGAGTATTTTTTGTGTGTGTGTGTATTTAAAGTTACTTCCTCCAGATTTGTAGGATTAACTTCTCAAGGATGAGAATCAAACAGCTACAAATCCTGGAAACCCTGATCAAACGTATAGCACAGTTATACTGGGGCACCATACAAGGGTTACAAAGTAACCTGTAGTTGAGTGTGAGTGAGCTGTGCTTGTGTCCAGTGTGGGTGGGTTATGTTTCTGTCCAGTGTGGGTGGGTTATATTTGTGTCCAGTATGGGGGAGTTATATATGTGTCCAGTGTGGGTGGGTTACATTTGTGTCCAGTGTGGGTGTGTTACATTTGTGTCCAGTGTGGGTGGGTTATATTTGTGTCCAGTGTGGGTGGGTTACGTTTGTGTCCAGTGTGGGTGGGTTATATTTGTGTCCAGTATGGAGGGGGGGTTATGTATGTGTCCAGTGTGGGTGGGTTACATTTGTGTCCAGTGAGGGTGAATTACATTTGTGTCCAGTGTGGGTGGGTTATATTTGTGTCCAGTGTGGGTGGGTTACATTTGTGTCCAGTGTGGGTGGGTTATATTTGTGTCCAGTGTGGGTGGGTTACATGTGTGTCCAGTGTGGGTGGGTTACATTTGTGTACAGTGTGGGTGGGTTACATTTGTGTCCAGTGTGGGTGGGTTACATTTGTGTCCAGTGTGGGTGGGTTACATTTGTGTCCAGTGTGGGTGGGTTACATTTGTGTCCAGTGTGGGTGGGTTGTGTTTGTGTCCAGTGTGGGTGGGTTGTGTTTGTGTCCAGTGTTATATTTGTGTCCAGTGTGGGTGGGCTACATTTGTGTCCAGTGTGGGTGGGTTATATTTTGTGTCCAGTGTGGGTGGGTGGTTGTATATGTGGGTGGGTACGTTTTGTGTCCAGTGTGGGTGGGTTACATTTGTGTCCAGTGTGGGTGGGTTACATTTGTGTCCAGTGTGGGTGGGTTACATTTGTGTCCAGTGTGGGTATGTTGTGTTTGTGTCCAGTGTGGGTGGGTTGTGTTTGTGTCCAGTGTGAGTGGGTTGTCTTTGTTCCAGTGTGGGTGGGTTATGTTTGAGTCCAGTGTGGGTGGGTTGTGTTTAACGTTGTAGTATACTATTAAAATGGCAGCTAGAGTATGCTAGGACATCTTGTTAAAATATCTGCTGGTGAAACAGTGCAGAAGTGTGCAACAGAAAGGTTTGTCACACTTCAAGTTGTGAACTAGGTTTATCAGATCTAGACTGACTTCTCACCTTACCAACTCGGTACCCACAACTAATCCGATACTTGAGAGTTTCAGATGTGACAGCTATTTTTATGTGTGTGGACCAAGGATAACTTTCCAGCAACAATGCCAGCTCTCTGTGTGGGTTCTGAGGCCCCATTTTTAGGGAAGGGGGAGGGAGGGAGAAACAGACCCACTGTCACCCTTCCCCCCAAAAAAAGTATATCATAAAAGGCGACTAATTAAGGGTGTTTCCCTCCAAGATGGAGTGTATCTGCCTGAGAAGTAAGGGACCAACAGTTCCTGATGCTAAAAGTTAGAAATCAAAATAGTGGTCATATGAAACAGAAACAACAATTTCTGACATAAGGAGTGTGTTACCGGATATGATCCAGAGGCTGGAACTTGAGCCAGTTCTTCCAGTGTGCCCAGTGATCAAACAAAATCTTGCGGAGATTCTCTGCTGAGCCTGGCTTCCAGTGACCCTGCAAGAAAACACAATGATAAATAATAAGATTTCCAGGATCTACAAAACATACTGGCTGAATATCCTCTAACTACTTGTCTACTTTGTTTACCATGCCAAATGACATAGCTGAACATATCTTGTCACAATCCACGTCATTCAGTGATGTTTATGAGAGTATAAGCTAACAATGATCCCATTTAGAGACACAAGATTCTCTTTTCTTTCTTCCATCCTGTTTCTTTTTCATAAACAGCATGCATCAGAAATGGAAATACTTTGGTTATATGAGACATCTATAATAATAATAATAATAATAATCTTCAAATACCAGGTCTTCCTCTCTCAGTCACATGAAGTCGTTGGTGGTGTATGTAAAGTTTAAAGTACCATGCAATGGTAAGGACTTCTAACTAATTAGGGATCTCTATATAATTAGGGAAAAAAACTATAAATAAAAAAGACAATCACAGACCGGATTGGACTCACCTCATGCAAGGGGTAGGCAGCAGTGTAGTAACCATCAGCAATCATTTTCTTGATACCTGAGAATATTATTTTACAGTAAAGTGTTTTACAATAAGAAAAGAAATCAGTTATGGAAGCACTGAGTAAACAGGTTAAAGAGAATGAAAAGACAATGAAATACTGACAGCTTGCAAGGTTTTTCAATATTCTTTAATTAAACAACAAATTTAATCTGATCAGTAACTTAGTTCATATGTTGAAAAACTCAAATCCTGACATTATTTTCCTGTCCCCACTAAAATTAATGTAAATACTTTTATTAATTAGCTCCGGCCCTCAAAAATAAAAAATTTAAACAATATGAAAGTTTTATTTCCTTAAATGGGAAAATGTGTAGTGACTCTTTTTTGTCTTTTTGCCTGCAGTGGAAAACAGGGTTACTTCCGACCATGATACTACAGTCCACCATCATCAAATGCCTTTGGCAATGTTAACGTGACCTAATCCATTTAAAAGTTATCGAGATACTGTTAGGTAATGCTGATAGTTTTTGCAGCTCCTGCATGGATCCTGGATTTCACCTTGCATTCTTAGAGTTAAAAAGGGAAAAACATGGACAAATTAGGGTGATCCAGGAAAAGAACTAAATTTAACAGGACAAAAGAAGTGCAAAAAAAAGGTATTCATTACAACTGATAAATAAATTCCTGATAAGACTTGGAAAATTATGATCTGTTATCTTCTAATAACAGGATTAAACACGACAACATCAGCAGTTTCAATATTTTGTTTGCTTTACTGTATCTAAGATTACGATTAATTTCTTCATCCAATTTTACATCTTTGGTAAATGTTTTTCCAGATACATAAACTCAGATTCCTGTTTAACGCCTGTTTCAAAACAACACTCACCAAAATCAAAGTTGCTCTCTGTGGTGGTTGAGAAATGCTGCCTCCTGAGTATGTAGTCCACAATCCAACTTCTAGTGGAGTTACTGAACAACTCTTCACTGTTGGCTGGTATTTCAAACCTGACCAACAAAAAATGTATTTTGTACAGCATCTTATATCACGCATGCTAGAAAGGTGCACTAGCACAGCTTCATAATTACAGAAATATAATACAACATATCTATCTAAGACAGAAGCAGTACTAGTCAGCTAGCAAATAAAACATAAATGACAAAATAAACGTTGCAGCTAGAAAGCTTTCATCAGCATATAACACAAGCAGCAAATGATATAATTATGAACAAGAATACACAAAATAAATTAAGCTTGACTGTGTGTGAAGTCTGTCAAAATCTCTAGCCACGTCTGAATAAGTAAAGGCTGTGTTTTCATTAGTTGCTGGAGGGTCAGATACTGGACAGAAAGTGGCCCAGACCAGTGAATTTTGTAGGCAAAAGGGGAGGGGGGTGTCAGAGGTCATCTCAGCTATGAGACGGAAGTGTATGATGATGATAATTCATCAGGCTTGTGCTTGGTGACACATACATGAACTTAGGGTCAGTACAGACAAGTCAAACACGGAATAGTCTGTATTGTGTGAAATGGACCCGTCGGGCTTCAGCAGCTCGGACTTCATGAGATACAGCGAGTCAGCACTTAACCCTGGAGTTCAACAAAACGTCTGAGCAGAGGCAGGATTCGGCTGGACAACGGTGTGACAAGGACTTCGTTAGACCAGACTGTTAAACTGTAGTATTTCATTGTGAAATTGTAATGACGGGTAGAAATGTGGCGTGAATTAGATCTCAGTTGTGATTCGTACGGGCTAGTGTTGTTAGTGTAAGTTATTAGGTGTAGGTAGGAATTGTTACACTCAGACCTCATATAGCAGATACATTCATGACAGCAGTTAGACCCCCTTTATAGTAGAGATATCTCATTATCGGCAAAGTGGCCATGCATTTGCCTTGGCGGTAGCATCTGCATACACACCCTCAGCCCTCACTTGGCGTGTGCTGCAGAATCATTGGCATCAGGAGATAACGGCTTTAGACAGCGCTGTACGGGAGTGTGGTAGGTTTGAGCCCAGAGCTTATTTATTCAAATGCGAAAAGGCGGGTCTTGCGAATGTAAAACTTGCGCGGTCTGGTTTCAAATAAAGGGGCGCTCACAGCTCCTGAGGTCAACTGCATGAGTTCATGATCTTTGATAATAAAGACTGTGTGCGTGTGCTCCACGAGTGTTTGGGTTGGTGTGTTCTTCGGCAGATTTACCTGTCACCGGCCTGCAACGAAGCCATAGATTAAACCCCAGGACAAGCAGGTTCTTGACAGAGGGGAAGGTTACAGTCAAGGAATGTAACCTAAAAAAATATTAACATGAAACTGCATTGAACAAGAAAGACATAAACCCAACAGAGAGATCAGAGGATACTCCGAATTTTGAGACTCTTTCATTAGAATACCTAGACTTAATGGCTGTGACCCCTAGGTTGAAAACACGCTAAATTAAAATGGGCAACATTCTGCACATTACAGAGATGCTGTCTGAACTGTGCATCAGATCTTGCCCCATTTCTCCAATGTAATTCATATTACATTTTGTGCGAATGATAGTGTAAATTACATTATGGCTCATGTAAAAGCAATTTCACCTAATTACAGAAACAATTCTGAATTACACATAAAAACAGCAAATCAAATGGTTTGTCAATTAAGAGTGACATTATACAATACAAGACATACACTAAAAGAGCAGGAAATAAAGCACAGAGTGGACCAAGAGGGCTGAAAGATAACATCAGAGAAACTCTACAACAGCACGATTAGTCTATCTGAGCAGAAGAGCAAAAAGTAGAACCTTATATCTCCCTCAACACCCAAAGAGGTAAAAGAAGAAGTGAAGAAGAAGAAGAAGAAGAAGAAGAAGAAGAAGAAGAAGAAGAAGAAGCAGAAGAAGAAGAAGAAGAAGAAGAAGCAGAAGAAGAAGAAGAAGAAGAAGAAGAAGAAGAAGAAGAAGAAGAAGAAGAAGAAGAAGAAGAAGAGAAGAAGAGGATAAGAAGAAGAAGAAGACAGAAGTACTTACAAATATTCCCTGTTGGAGGAATAAGGGCAAGTGTAGGCACGTGTGATCTTGGGCAGCTTTGTTTCATCATAGTGGAAAGGCACAAAGAACTTTCTCACTAGCTTCACTGTGCTCTCCCACAGCCTGGTTGTGAAAGGAACCAATGGAGCCTGCAGTAAGACAAATCACTGATGTTATATAGTCATCCTGTGTGGGTTCCAGAAAAAAAAAAAAAGAAGACTCACTGCCCCTTAACAAGCATGTCACAGAGGTGACTAATTTGGGACTTCCTAAAACTGGATATGCTGGGACAAAAGGCGCAGATACAGCAGCCTAGCTGTAAACCACAACACAGCATGCCAGCTGCTCTTTTAATGAATGCAGAAGAAAAAGTTATAAAGAAAGCTAACATAATAATCACAGTTAGTGTATCACTAAAAAGAAAACGAGTTATATTTATTGCTCTTGCTAATAAACAAAAAACAAGATCAACCTGCTTGGGTCATTCTTAACCCTACCAGACCACTGGCCCCATTTTTTTCAGGGAATTTCTTAACCTGACGCTATACCGCTGGCCCTATTTTTCTGATTTTTGCGTGGTACGGGAAAACAATGAATCATAGACTAAAAATAACTAGCCAATCGTAATCAGATCTCGTGGATAGTCTTCCTAGATGTCCGCCTGCATGTATTTGGATAAAATTTGTGTTGTTTTATGTGAAAAAATTCTGAAAATTCACAATAAAATGAGCGGCTGATGAACCAAGCACTTTGACAGGAAAGTAGGTCTAGGCTTTTCACAATCCAACAGGTGATCGATACTTTGCTTTATTCAGACTCTGCGGAGTCATAATTTCATGAAGAATACGTTCACAGTTGAAGTGACACCTTCAATTCGAATAATGAGGAGAATCTTGAAAATTATAAATCTAGAAATAGATCGATAGTAAGAGAAGGGGTCGTGTCCTTCAAACAGCAACATCTGGTGCTCACTTTGTGAAACAATCCTGATCCTCCTGAGTGGATTGGCACACACAGGTGGAATATTGGCACTAGATAAAAAGATAAGCCTATTTTCTACAATGTCTCCAAGTTTCATCTTATTCTAGCCACTTGTTTGCATGTAACTAACATTTTTGTATATCATGTTGATTTTTTCGCGTTAATGCCCAGAAGCTCAGATATAGGGGACAGTTAGGTTCAGGGCCTCAGGTCTGGTAGGGTTAACCTTTTGAGTCCCAAGCAATACACTGTGTGTGATTTCCCGATGCATAATGTGTTAATAAATCATTTACATTTGGTGGATCATGCCAAAGAAATCTGACGAGTACTCCAGCATGCTAAACAGTATGCTTTGACACACAGTGTATATCACTGACATTACACAAAAAGTTACCCTAGTGCATTTTCAGGGCTGTTATTTGTCATTTTACAAATGCCAAAAGGCATACACGAGACTTCCTACTCCACATAGGTCGAAGTAAATTATGACTTTTCAAGAAGCTCACAATTTTCCAGTTATCTCAATGCAACTTTATAGAAAGAAAGATTTAACACTTTGGTGAGTTAGACGTAGTGCCAATGATACAAGCAGTTAACCAATTTATGGTGTTTCACTTTTTTATGTGGACTTGTATGTTATTTCTACTTCTGTCTATGAGAACTGTTCATGTTTGTATACTAGGTCTGAGATTGGCTTTTTCCTTCCCATTGGTGACTCCAAGCATTTGATTTTTAATATTACTTATATAGTCTATAATGTTTTCAAAACCAGGGCCGAAAAAATTAACGCATAATCTTGAATGCTAAAGTAAAACTTTTTGTTACAGAATGTAAGATACTTAGGTTATTTTTGTTTTTAGGCAGAATTCGAAAATGCTTGCTATGAATACAAAAATCAGTTCAATCTGGTTAATTTCCATAGCATAAAGAGCACCACAAAAACAAACAATTTATTATAGACAGATTTAAACTTTAGGAAAACAAGATTTAAAAAGATAACCACAAAAAATGTATTCCTCCAAGTTGCACAGAAACTCAACCATGCAGGTATCATGCAAACATGTACAAGAATACCCTGCCAATTAAGTACTGAGATCATATTTATTGAAATATTTATTAAACGAAATATTTCCCCTCCTTTTTATAACAAACATACTGTTACAGAGGAGAGGTACACAAATAGAGAGGAGGAGGATGGAGGCAGAGAGAGAAATGATGAGAAGAGAGAGAGGGAGAAGAGAAGGAAACAGAAAAAGAGAGTGGAGTGTGGAGTGCATTGATGTGTTCCTGTAGTCGTTCGGTTTTACTGCAGACTAAGTATGGATTGATCATCGGTAAAGAGCAGCTCGCTTAAGTAGTTTGGTTGGTCGTTAGTTGGTGCTGTTTCTTGTTTTGGTGATAAAATCATATAAATAATGAAGACCAAGGGTGATAGAACAAATCCTTGTCTTGAAGATCAACAGTGAAAAAACATAAATCATGGACATAACAGAAAACCTCAAAATATCGACATAAAAATTTACGAACATTCACTAAAACAGGTGGGCGCATTCAATTATCTTGAAGATTCTTCACATCAGATGTCAGATTAGACACAGAGATCGAGCCCTGAATCCAGTAAGCTAACAGTGTTACCTATAAACTTTCCCCGATACTGAAACACCCGGCAATACCAGTGGAAACTAAAAGATAAATCATAAATGCAATCTGTTTACCAACATTCTGTTACCAATGCCGAACCTGGGCATTAACAAAAGAGCAAGAGCGGAAACTAACAAAGTGTGAAATGAGATGTTTGAGAAAAGCAGGCAACATAACATGAAGAGACCATAAAAGAAAAGAAATAACATTAGAACAGTGGGAAAAACACTTATAATTCGATTTATTGAAAAGTACAGACTGAGTTGGTTTGGTCATATGGTCAGAATAAACCCAGCGTCACCGGTTGCAAGAACATACAACATAAGAATGGAAACATTAAAATGCAGAGGAAGGCCAAGAAGAACATGGATAGATGGAGTTAACAACTTGCTCAACCTTAACAATACCACCACGCAGCAAGCTAACGAGCGTGCACTATCCCAGAAACCGATCATTAGCTGTGCCTGCGACACCTAACAACATTAAGCAGAGAAAGACAACAGACAGACAGACAGATCAGTCAACATGTAATGTCGAACAAGCATGTCATAAAAGGTGACTAGTAAAAGAATTTGCAGATGTGCTGAGCCAAAAGGCGCAAATATCCATCCTACTTTACACCAGAAAACAACATCCTAACTGATCTTTAAGAGCGAACACAGAAAAAATAAGAAGATCTGCTGCAGACTTTTATACAAGTAAAACTGGAATTAAAACAGAAAAGAACTAATGATTGTAAGATTTTAATTACAAATTTGATATCTGCCATGGCTTAGGCATTGTGAGTCTGACTCTTAATTCCAACATACCGCGATCGAAACTCAATGCTGGCTGCGTGGATTTGTATCATAATATGGGGTGTGACAGGTCGACCCAGCCTAAAATGGGTACATAGATGGCTGTCCCGAGGAAGTAAAGACGGCCAGAGCAATGCTGACCATCTTACCCACCTAGTGCGAATTGGTCTGTAAAAATATGGGATGCTCTTCCCCTATGCCCGATGTGCCTAAGGCGTGAAAAGAGATCTTTACTTTACTTTTACTGTATTCAAATACTGATAACGAATGGCCTCTTCAATGGACATATCAAGTTATCAGATCACAAACAAAGATGTAACATAAAAAACTGCATGCTTGTTAACTATAAAAACGTTGCAAGCATTAAAATAATTAACAAGGTAAAAAAAAAAAATTAGTAATAAAAAAAAATATTTCCACATACTGAGTGGCATATTGTTTTCAGAACTTCAGAGTTATGACTTTTACTGTGTCATATTAACTGGTCAATGAACATATTAAACAATATATAATGTAAACCCAACAGTGAAAGCTGAACTTCTTCTTTTGTCTTACTGCTTATGTCTTGAAGTGTTGCAGACAATAATAAGAGTTAATGTAATTCCTGTCTTCAGCTAGTTGCGATGCTTGTGTTTAATGTCATACTGCATTTCTGTAGTGTCTCTTTTACTTCCTCCACCCATCTCTTTCTTGGTTGGTCTCTTGCCTTGTAGCCCGCTGTTCTCATGTAAAGTGTCTCTCTATCTGTTGGCTGATGTTTTTTTTCCCCATTCTGACCAGATGACCAAACCATTTGATTCTCTGATAAGCTATGAAAAAAAAATTTACTATCTGCGGAACTTGCAACTCAGGTTTCACATTTTTGACACAACTAAGTTAAATGTATATTTCATCTGAAGATGCTTTGTTTATTCATCTAAAGATGCTTTGTTTATTTATCTAAAGATGCTTTGTTTACATAATAAAAACTATGAATTATCAGTCCAGTAGTCTTGGATGAGTTCAAATCTCCATCAAGAGCACAAGTTAGCAAAGGATCATTTTCCCGCCGGTGACATATCAAGCATATGCTGCCTGACTCATATCTTTATCGATCACCTGGTACTTACCTTGTGATGTTGTTACATCAAACTTACTGCCTTTGTTTCCTAGGACATTTCCTGGAACAAACTTTAATTTTAGGCTGCACCGACCTGAGAGCCAAAGTAAACTTTTTCTTCAACACCGGCCCTGGTTAAATTTAATCGAACAAGGCAGGCAAGTCTAGCCAGTACACAGCTGCTGAGTCTAAACAAACTTTAGGCTGGCAGGCAAGTCTAGCCAGTGCACTGCTGCTGAGTCTAAACAAACTTTAGGCTGGCAGGCAAGTCTAGCCAGTGCACTGCTGCTGAGTCTAAACAAACTTTAGGCTGGCAGGCAAGTCTAGCCAGTACACTGCTGCTGAGCCTAAACAAACTTTAGGCTGGCATTCAAGTCTAGCCAGTGCACTGCTGCTGAGTCTAAACAAACTTTAGGCTGGCAGGCAAGTCTAGCCAGTGCACAGCTGCTGAGTCTAAACAAACTTTAGGCCGGCAGGCAAGTCTAGCCAGTGCACTGCTGCTGAGCCTAAACAAACTTTAGGCTGGCAGGCAAGTCTAGCCAGTGCACTGCTGCTGAGCCTAAACAAACTTTAGGCTGGCAGGCAAGTCTAGCCAGTGCACTGCTGCTGAGCCTAAACAAACTTTAGGCAGGCAGGCAAGTCTAGCCAGTGCACTGCTGCTGAGTCTAAACAAACAGAAAAGCTAGAGACAATTTATACTCTGACATGTATATATACTTACGGCGTCCATGGCTTAGCCATTGGGAGTCCGATTGGTAATTGAAACGTACTGCGATCGAAACCCACTGCTTGCTGCGTGGATTTTTATGATGGTATGTGGCGTCTCAGGTGGACCCAACCTTAAATGGGTACCAGGATGTATGTCCTGGGGAAGTAAAGACGGCCGGTGTAATGCTGACCACATTACCCACCTAGTGCCGATTGGTCTGTAAAAATATGGGTACTCTTCCCTTATGCCCGATGCGCCTAAAGGCGTGAAAAGAGATATGTCTGGATACATTTTACAACAACATAATAAAGAGAAACATTGTTTGGGGGCGTAGCAATCAATAAAACAACTGCATCAAGAAAGAAATTTAGGATAAATAAAGATAATACAAAAATACATAAAAATTAATAATAAAAATAAGTTTAATGAGAAAGATCAACCTTTCACTGTTACGATTTCACTGCCACCTATTTTTAATCAACTGTACCCAAGGCCCCCACTTCCTCCACTATTGAGTGTTAGATAAACTTTGTTTTGCGTGAAGATACTTATTGTTTTGGGAGTCAGTTTTCTTTACCAAATAATAGTGCTCTGTTATGATGCTTCAAAAGATTCTCTGGAACAAAATCTAATGTACAGACTGAGTTTATATTTTACTTATACATTATTCAGTGGTTCATATTCATTTGTGATTCTTTTTGGATACATTTTAACCAGTTTTTGTTGAGTGCTATTATGGTGAGTGGAAACTTTTTTATTTCATTTTACTAATTTTTGTAAACATACCGTCCGTTTATTTACTAATTTTAAATTACTAACGCAATTATTTGTTGTAACTCTATGCTAAAATTATTCCTCAACCATCCCTGGTCACTTTGATCTATAATATGTGTATGTTGCTTGGCAACTGAATTAGTATGGTCTGTTTTAATGTCTTACACTTGTGAAATTCAAAAATTGCATTACCACCCCTTGGGCCTCTGATGCTAAACTCCATGAGACTCAAAGAGTTAATGCTGTCTAAACCCTAAAAAAAATGTTGTCCTGAAACAAAAAAAATACCATTACAGTAATGAATTATTATTATCATTCAGTATAGCTAACACAGGGGAAGCTGCAATGGCACAGTGACCAGTCTAACAAGCAAAGGTTCAACTCTCCATTCTCCTGGCCTTGGTTCCCCCCCCCCCCCCCCCCCCACCCCCCCCCCACCCCCCCCCCCCCCCCCCGCCGCCGCCGCTCCCAGTTGTGGTTTTTGTCAGTAAAGGCAGCTTGTGAAACATCCAATTGTTCCTGTGTGTGTTTTTTCTCCTACCCATCTTTGTTAAGCTTCTTAGTTCAGTTGATAAACTTCTTGATACTAGCGAGACTAGTCACCCGTTTTTATTCATTCTCCTGCTTTAAATTGGTACTTCTTTGCGTAGAAAGGGTTAAAGCAATCACAAGCGGATACCAAAAGAGTTAAAATTAGCAGAACTGACAAGAGGCAAAGCAGTTAACTAACTGCACGATGCATACATATCCAACCTATACAACAGAGTAGAGAGGTAGTGAAGCAATGTTAAAGAAAAGCATAGAAAACATGTTATTGTAAGCAGCAAACCCAGAAAACATTCTGTCCCAAGACACACTTCTGTACAGCTTCTTACCAAATGATCAGAACCTTTAGCCTAGAGAAGTATAAATTATACAACAAAACAGAAATGACGGAACTAACTGTATACCTTAAATGATAATAAAGCAAGAACATATAAAAGTATCTATTGCCTAAATACAAATATACATATATATGATTAGGTAATTATTTTAAAAATACAATGCCCCTTAAAAAAAAACTGAAAGCATTACTACTAAGAGAGTAGCAAAAATATAATTATTTGCTTTAAAGTATAAGACAATATTGGTGACCTATAATGGCTATTCCTGTCCTAATTTGATCTGTATCAATCAAAATTTGAAAACAAATTTATCAGTAACAAATAAACTAAAAAAAAAAAAAAATATATAACAATAAACCTAACTCTTTGAGTCCCAATGAGCGCACCATACGTTCATATGTTCGATTTTACGTCTCTTTTGACCACCCCTTGGGCTTCTGATGCTAAACCACTGGGACTCAAGGAGTTAATAGGGGTAAGAACCATTATTAATACAAAAAATGAAACAAGCCAGCTTAAAAAATAAAAAGATATAATCAACTACATAGTTAAATGAAACAATCTAAGATAGGAAATCAAGTCATGACTCTCATGCATTTTGGATTTGCTGAAGGGACAGGTTATGTTACAAATGGTCTATTGTGAGAAAAACGTGTACGTCCATGTCAAAATGGTACAATATGTTTACTTAACATACCAGATTTTTATTCTGCCCAATATTCTGAACATAAAGCAACTTTCAACAAGTTATTAATAACCTTTTATATAACATTTAGCTATGCATACTAATAATTATATTAATTTTCGTTCATATTAGCACTGATTTGTATTTATTCTGAATTTTATATAAATCATTATTAAACAACATGTTCATAGCTATCTTTGCATAATATTATACTTAATAATAATATATTGAATTATTATTATAATTTTAAAACTGATATTACAGTTTTAAGAATTATTAGTATATTAAATTTATCATGCTTCTCCAGTGGACATTTTCATTGCATATTTATTCAGTCTGACTATTTCTGTGGCTTCACAAAGTGGTACGAGCATCAAACCATGAAAGAGATTGAGTCCTCACCACATTTATATTTCCACAGACAGCATTTGATCACAAATCAAATTCAGTCAATCTCCACTGTGGAAAACACTGCCAAAAAACCTGGCAATTACTACCTGTATTTATAATTTTGCGGTGGAGGCAGGAAGATCTTTGAGCCTGAGAATTTAGGGCCCACATGGCTAGTTCTGTTGCCATAGACTGTGCAGGTAAGGATTTTTGTGTGCCCCCAACAGGAAAAACCCCCAGCCTTACGCAGGACTCAAAAACCTGGGTCTCCTGCTTGAGAGCCTCACATTCTTGGCACAGGAGCGGAGCAAAGATGGGGTGACCCGTTTGCTATGAAGCTGAAACTAAGACTACCAGACCAGACATTCTTAAGTTCAGCAAGTTGCTTGTCACTACCAAACAATAAACACAACTGTAATCTTTATGAAAACAATGTACTTGCCAATTTACATCATCATTTTCATTTAACTTCTCTCAGAATTTGCTGAGAAAGGTTACGGAAATGAATGAGTAAAAGTACACGGAAATACTTCCCTGTATAAGGCAGAAAGGATCTCCCACGTTCGCAAAATTTGTCCATGTATAGGGCAGAAATTATTTCTCATGTTCAAAGGGTTAAATAAGAATTTAAGATACTGCTAATATTTAAACTGTCTATCCCTGATTCAACAAGGTCTTCTTCTTCTTCTTCTTCACTTCCTCTTTTACCGCTGTGGGTGTCGAGGGAGATATAAGGTTCTGTTTCTTGCTCTTCTGGCTGCCTCGACCATAGGCACATCGTGCTGTTGTAGAGTTTCTCTGATGTTATCCTTCCATCTTGTTCTTGGTCTACCCCGTGCTCTACGTCATATATCTCATTTTGATTTCTGTAGCGGTAATACATCCATTGCCGGCTTGCTAGGCCTGTCGCAACTTCACCAGAGCCCCGTTGGCCAGGATGTTTCGGGGTGACCCAGGGTGGCCTTCATGGCTACCGTAGCGGTCCCGTGGCACGAGGCCACACCATAATTCACCCACACCTAGCAATCCCCTACTTTGTCCTGTTACCACCTCTCACGACGAGGACGTGGGGTTGGCCTTTGAGAGGTCACACACTAGAAATTATTTGATGTGTTCCACATAAAAGTAAAAAGACCCTTTATGTGTCCCTGGTGCAGTTGCCATACAGTAGAAGTAAAAGACCTTTCCCATGTCCTGAAGTATACTGGATATATAGTGCTAGACCTTTATTTTACAGACTAATTGAAGGGTGATGTGGGAAAACATCATACCACCCCCTTTTACTTCCTAGGATTTCACCTGATACCCTTTTAGGGCTCGGCTGACCAGAGAGTTTAAAAAAAAAAATTTATTGAAAAAACAAAAGACTTGAAGCGGAACCGAACCCACACACTTCAGGGCCGCAGATCAGTATCTAGCACATAGTGCCAAATCTATATCAATGTAGCCCAATCTGCATTTGATAGGTCATATGATTAGTATCACACCGTTCAGCTGAAACTACCAAAATAATACGTAGTACACATTTGAGGCTGGGTTGAAATGGGAGCCAAAATATTGTTTTCCTAGATATTTTGGCAGCTAGTGGACTTTATCTAAAAAGCAAAGCCATAAGTAGTATAAAGTTCTACAGCTGTCTGTATTTTTTTATGCTGATAAAAGCCTCCTAGTCATTATATTCACACTGTCTTTCGTGATTACTTTATTGGAAAACTGACTAACTCTACTTCTTGTTTCAGTCAATGTTTGTTATTGCAAGAATTAACAGTGTAAGGCAAGTTTGTTTACTATAGTTCTATCACTGTCATTTTTCCCCCCGAAAGCTTTCTAGCCATAACATTCATTTTATCTTTCAATCTGTGTGTTTTTTTTATTGATAATCTTCTTCTTCTTGTCTGAGTTGCTTTTTTTTTTTAAAGTTGTTGTTGTTGCTAGAGTTAACAGTGTAGGACAAGTTTGTATATGATAGTTCTACCACATCAAATTTTTTGGTATGCTGATGAAGTCTTTCTAGTCATAACATTTATTAATATCTTTTAATTTGAGTGTTTTATTGGTAAGCTTCATCTTCTGGTCTGGGTTGCTTTTTTGTTGTTGCTAGAATTAACAGTGTATGACACATCTGTATGGTATAGGTCTACCACTGTCCATTTTTTTCTTTGCTGATGAATAATTTTTTCTTTCATGGCTGTGCTATACTGGGAAGCTGTCTAGTTCTTCTCCTTATGTAGGTAATTTTTTTTGTTGTTTTTTTGTTTTTTGCAAAGCTAGAATTAACAATGCAAGGTAAGTGTTTAACATTACTTTTCTCTACAAGTGCTCAGTAAACAGAAAAAGCAACAGTTCTATTAATTCTAAATGTAAAATATGAGCAGTGAAGAGTTACATGCCCTCATTAATCACTGTGTTTAAAAGCTTCAATGCTCTTAGAAAAAAAAAAAGTAACTACATAAGTAGAATGTGGTTAAAACAGTTGAATATAGTTACAAATAAAAGAGTTCTAACCTCCCATGGAGAGAAAGCATCTTTATTGTGCTGCTCTGCTAACGCCTGCATCAGCCAACCAATCAGAATTCAGGAAAATCAGCAGCATTCAATAGGCAAGCCAATGAGAGGGCGTTTCAAGTCAAAGGCAACCAATGAAAAAAAATGAAAATTGGAAAGAAGAATTGTATTTTCAACATAAATATATTTAAACAACTTATAGAACTTTGTGAAAAAAAAAACACTCTATTCACTGATGAACTGTAAATAAATATATAAACAAACAAGAATGCTTCAACAATGCGTATAACTTTAATAACAAATATATCTCACAAATGAATTTTCCAGCTTTGTTCATCCATCTGCAAGAGAATCAATTATTGTTTTATTTTAAACACATATTCCTGTAGATTACAGGTGAACCAGATATCCATAAACTTACGAAATATTCAGGACAGAGTCATAACGTACTCCGCTCGCTTGTTAATATGAAAGTCTAGTGGTTTAATTCCATTATAAGAAACATTCAGGATAGAGTTGTAAGGTAGCGCACTTACTTATAAATTTGAAAAATTAGGGTTTGATCCCAAATTAAAAAAAAAAAAAAAAAAATCAGAAATGTTGGTTGGAAAAATAAAGACTACGTGCAATTTAAAAATTAAAAAAAAAAAACCGTAATAATAAATAAATAGCTTCATTTATTTAAACAAAAAAAAACGCATTGTAAAGTGTCAATTTACCACAAGACAGAAGTGAATGAAAACACATTCAACAAGTTCATTATCCACAGTCTCAGAAGTAGAGTGATTGCTAGGACTGCACACATTAAGGCACAGGATGATGATGATCAGAGATGTCTTACTGTCTCATGGCTTCAAGGTAATATTATGAGAGTTGCATTGTGGAAGAGACTGAGGTCTCACCAAGAAATTCATAAAGACAGCAGTGGATGCAAATATCCACTGCAGCACACACTCCATTGTGGATACAACATAAATGTGTTTTTTTTAGCTAAGTTTTCATGTTAATTATTAAGTTTTTGTTTTTTTAACTTATTAATGTTGCTGTCCATCCAATGTATTCTACACATGTTCTTGAGGATTACTTTTCTTTTGCTAGATTATGACTATTTACTGTCCATGTTTCACATGCATGAAAGTCGCTGTGGCGTTGTCGGCTAGACGCACGCCTACAGATCGGAAGGTCGTGAGTTCGCGTCCTGATGCAGCCGGACTTTATTAAAAAAATTACCTTGACTCCTGCGTCAACCCAGCATTGAGTGGGTACCAGGAGCAGTCCTGGGAAGTATTAGCGGCCGGGGTGATGCTGATCACATCACCCACCAAGTGCCGACTGGTCTATAAAAATACAGGTCTAGCTATATATTCCGAATACGCCCAAAGGCGTGAAAAGGGTACCCTTTACTTTCACATGCAGACAACTGTATAGGTTTTATTCAGAACTTTAATCCTTTTCCACAGTCATTTGATAGCTCAAGGCAGAAAGTAGTTGGAAGTCCTTCAGGACTGAATCTCAAAGAATTGTACATCAAGGACTTACTAATATAGTCCTTTCTGCTACAATTAATATGTCATTATTAGATTCATTCAATCAGTCTTTCATTAATTATCATGTTTTCCCATTATTTTTTATTATTATTTATTATTTATCCCATTTTAATGCCTGTTTGATGATTCTCTGCTGGTTTCTTCTCAGGACTTTATTAGATTAACAAACCACGATTAAAAGAACATTACTATCAGAGAAAAGTAAACTTAAAATTCATATAAAAATATAGTATCACATCTTAAAGAAAAGTGTAGCACAGGATGCATAAAGACCACTTCTTGGTGCATGCATAGCGCACATACATTTTACAGAGTTCAGAGTACACTGCATACAGGTGGAATTACAAGAGCAACTTTGGCAAAGAGACTAAGATCATTCACTGCTTCATGCATTCAGATGCGCTCATTTTTAAAAAAACAAAACAAATGAACATGAAGTATGTTGTTGTTGTTGGCACTTTCCATCTTTCTAGACACGTTTTAAATTGTGCACTTGGGGATGCATGGGAATCACAGCCCTTGGCGATGGCGAGTGCGATTAGCAAGATCTGTCTTCCACAATTAGAGAATGAGATTTCAGCACTGTTGCCTGTCATCACATCTGTCTGGTGTGCTTCTTCTCAGATGCTTAGCTATTATCCTTTCTCAGTCATTTTTCTCCCCCTTTGTTCCTATTCCCTTTCTGATTTACCCCCCCCCCCCCCCCCCCCCCCCCCCCCCCCCAACCACTTTCCACTCATCAAGAAACAGTGTATTTTGTTCCCATGAATCTACCTCAATACCTGTATCATTCATGTCCTGCTTGAACGCATCTTTATAACACAGCACAGGCTGGCTTGATATCTTCTACCCAAAGTGCAGTATGCAAGTAAAAGGGCAATTTTTGCCTTCAGGCGTACTAGGCATATAGGGCTAGGCCTATATTTTACAGAGAAATCGGCACTTGGTGGGTGATGTGGTCAGCATCATGCTGGTCGCGTTTACTTCCCAGGACTGCACCTGGTAACCACTCAAGGCTGAGTCGACCCAGAAGAAAATATGTAGAGTACATATTGGACTAGAAAACTCAGGGGATAAAATGGAAAAGAAGTGCACAAATACAACAGAACATTCAAACAAAAGCTTTTTTGGGGCAAAGTATTTAGAAACAACACAGACTAGAAAAATAAAAGGAAAGACAATGGAGACATGACTAGAAAAATAAAAGGAAAGATAATGGAGCTTATAAACAACTGAGGCCAACATGAAACCATAAATTATTTATAATGAGCATATTGTGCCAAGTTGATCAGAGTAAACCGTAGGTGGTTTACCATCACACATAAACACCATGGTTTTTGATGAAGTCAGTATACCAGTTAATGAATGTTTTTAGTTTATAAGTAATTGTTCTAGTTGTTCTCCATGTTTCCGCTCCATACAACTGTATTGATCTGACATTAGAGTTAACAATTTTAAATTTAGAAGTAGTAGTTTTAATTTCTTTTGACCTCCACAAATTTCCTAGTGCTAGTTGCTTTGCATTTATGTATTTTATTAGTTTCCAGTATATCAATTATTTTATGCAACCCTGTCAACAAATGATATGCCAGTAATAATAGGATTTTATATACATTTATAATGTATACATCCAAGGATCAGGAACAGATTATATTATATATATATATATATATATATATATATATATATATATATATATATATCGAGATACCATATATTTATTATTTATTTATTTATAGTAGTTTTTACGTAATTTAAAATTTAAAAAAATCTTTAATGCATGAGAATGCAATTTGTAAATTGAATACACTTGTGTTTCAGATTTATTATTTTGTTTGAAAGTTGGAAGTGCTAAATACACGGCTGAACATCTTACCCGGCAGGAACAGACCCAGCTAGAAGCTTTATGAAGTTTCCTGGGCGGCTCGAGAAAGCTGTAGCGAAATCTGATGCCCCAAATTGAATTTGAAATAGAACCTCATGCTAAACACTTTCTTCTCGTGTGCACATTTCTTTTACAAATTATAGTTAATAAAGTATAAGTATTTTAAAATAGGGAGTCGCCGTGGCGTAGCGCCTGTGCAGATTGGAAGGTCACGGGTTTGCTTCCTGGGGAGCCAGACTTTTTTCAAAATGACCTTGACTCCCAGGTCGATGCAGTCTCGAGTGGGTACTGGTTGCAGACCCAGGAAGTAAAGGTGGTCGGCGTGATGCTGACCATATCGCCCATCTTGTGTCGATTGGTCTATAAAATATAGATCTAGCTCTAAATGCCAAAAGAGACCTTTACTTTATTTACTTACTTTCAAGTATTTTAAAACAGGGAATTGCTTTTCAGTCCCCCTGTAGATATTTGCCTTTTTGTAATCTCTTTTCCCATCAAGTTAGCCAGGTCTCAATAAATTTGCAAGTTTAATTATCATCAAAAAGTGTGCAAACAATACTGACGGTCTAGCTGTATGTGTATATGCGTGTGTGTAATAATATTTGCTTGTGCACATGTGTGCATTGCAACTTTGAAACACACACTGGCTTCATAATTAGCTTCCTCACAGTGAAACCCTATGCACATAATACCAATAACATAACAGCAAATGTGTAAGCCTTTCAAATACTAATGAATTGGAGAACATTAAACAAATAGTATAAGAAAATATTTCAAAGACGTGTGTCCTAACCTCATGCCACACAAAGTGTGCACTAACCAGGGAACCAATTGACTGTTCACACATGCATGCAACTATTCAACAAATGCTACAGTAACCTACATGGACATTTTGTGCCACTAAGAAAGTAATTAAATGTCTGTCCTACTGAAGCCACAAATTTAATTATAACTGTAGATTTTACCTTTATATGATTCAAATAGATGTTTTTTGTATTCTGTTCAAACAAATGTACAGTCTGAATAGATGTTATGTGCATATTATTCCAATAGACAACACCTAATTTAATTGTTCAACAGACATTTTTGTGTGAAAGTTTCTTGAAATAATTTATTTATAAAAAATATTCATCTTCTGCATTCATCTGAAGATGTAATTTGTGTTGTGCCCATTTACAGCATGACTGAGATATTTGCACCTTTTGGCCGACACATCTGACTTCTGCAGCCATTTGTTGACCCGGTTAGCCTTCCCAGAAAAATTAATCTGATTATTGCATAACAATAACACTACAGTTCGGATTTCTTGTTACTTTAACCATTTTTATTCAAGTTTAACTAACATTTTTTTCGAGTTGCAAATTTCCTAATTTAACCCTTTCTATCCCAGACAATGATTACTCTAATGGCATCACAGTGTCTCAACCTATGTCCTTTCTTAATTACAACCGTCCACACATATGATGACACCCACACACAAACATAAAAGTAATAGTAAATTAAGAAAGATATTTACATTAGTAGGTAGGTAGTTAGGTAAGTTGTACCCCACAAGGACATCACACAAGCGATAAACACCCGGTGACACAAAGTGCCACAATGCGGATGAGGCTATATTTATGGCCCCCGGCAAAAGCCAGGGTGGGAATTCAAACTAAGAAAAAAATTCCATCCCACATGGGACGACTAATTTATATAACTAGGGTCAAAAGTTCTCAGAACTGATGCCTGGGGTATATACAGATGCATATGTTCAATAATGATACAACATAGATTACATTTTGTGTGTGTATTTTATGTACAATTTTTATAATCCATTTGAATGAAAATAGAGTTGAAAAATAGAACTTACGACCTGTTAGAAAAGAACTCAGTCATAAGTCGAGGCAACCCTCTATCATGACCCCTTATTTCCTACATCAGCCTCAAAGTGGTAAATACAAGCAGTAAAGATGGTGATAGTCCTTTTAATAATTCCCCACAGTGTCATCATGTTATAAGAGGTCATTTACAGGATGTTGCTCCCATTTCAGCCAGCATCAAAGAAACTCAGTCCTTCACCAGCTCTCCCACTAATGCACTTTCCTGTCCAAGGCGTCTCTTATATGTCCTCTGTCCATTTTCATACTGGTTGGCCCTTGTCGTCTTGCCTGGTACCATGTCCTCCACTGCTGTTCTTTCCAACCTCCCATTATGTTCGATATGGCCAAATTATTTGTTTTCAAGATGCCATTTACCTGCCGATTTTTCTCAATATTCAGATTTTTTAGTATGTAAGTATTTCTGTTCTTCTTGTATGAGGGCAAATTATGAGACACGTGAGCCATATGCCGGCACTGAAACCTCATAGTAATGGAATACCTGATAATTATATCTGAGCCAGAATGCTGAGGGGCTGAACCATACCCAAGAGAAGGGCTTATACTGGTCAGGGTCTGTCTATAACTGTTTGCAGTCATCTCAGAAACAGGTTGCCAGTGGGAGCCTGGCCAATAAAAACAGAATCAACATTTCCTTTGAAAGTGGAGTGCATCTGCCTGTGAGGTGGGGAACCAACAGTTTTTTTAAAACTGCTCTTGGCTTCCAGGTCAACCCAGCCTGAAACTGGAGACACTATGAATTGTCCTGCAAAGTAAAGGCAGCCAGCATGATAATGAACACAACACCTGCTGAATGCCGAGTTGTCTATACTCGTTTAAAAAATGAGGTTAGCACCATATGTTTGGTATAGCGGTTAGGTCCTCGTACATGATTCTGAAGGTTGTGGGTTAGAATCTGAATTTGCACAAATTTTTTTTCCAAAAGGACCTTGGCTCCCAGGTTGACCCAGCCTCGAATGGGTACTAGGGAAAGTCCTGGAAAGTAATGGTGGTCGGTGTGATTTTGACCACATCACCCACTGAGTGCCAACTGGTCTTTATAATATAGGTCTTGCACTATTTGCCCAATACACCTCAAGGCGTGGAAAATTGTCCTTTTTTTTAGCACTCTTGCCCAATGTTCTTGGAGGTGTGAAAATTAGACTGTTACTTTCTATCTACAGATAACAGTTTTTCAAATGTAACAACTGGTTGGGACAAGAGTTTATCAGATGTTCATATGTCAACAAAATGTAGTCTATGAAACAGCTACATGCTAAATCAGGTGAAAACCAAAGTGAATGCATGTTTGCTAATAAAATAAATACAGCCCAGGTAATCTGATTTTATATACACAATGCATGCCCTAAAAATGTTTGCCAATAAGATGTTCCTGAAAATATGATGGACCAAAGAAATGATGGATTCTTACCTCTTTCATGGGCATTCTCATCTTGAGAATGTCAGCATACCGCTTGAGTACTTCATAGGGTGCATGGATTTTGACATAATGGACTTTGCCAGGTTTCTGTGGAAAGCAAAACTTGTAAAGATAATTCTAATATAATTTCTATTCAACATATGCCAGTGAAGGTTGAAGAAACATTAAAGATGTGGAATAAGAAAAAAAAAGAGGTTAAATGAACCTCTTAAATGAATGAGTTAAATGAAAGTTAAATGAACAAAGGAGAATTTAAAAGAAAAAACTTAAGAACCATTTTCACTTAAGAGGCCCTTAGAGCAGGGCTATTCAACTGGTGGCCCGCGGGCCAAATCTGACCCGCGTTGGCTTAACAGGCAGCCCGCTGATCACCCATCAGTTGTATTGTATTAACGCTCTTTCTAAGTTGGAACTGGGCATCTGGCCCGTGACGATCCCCATTATCCAAATTCTGGCCTCTAAGGCAGGGCTATTCAACAAAGTTTACTCAGAGGCCAGAATTTGGATAATGGGGAACGTCATATGATTTGCCATAAACAATTTCATTCATCATCATCAAAATTCTTCTTCTTCTTTTAAGTCATAACACCATCCTTGGGTTCCCTCCCTGTTTTCTTCAGCCTAAAACTTAGTTTAGCATGGGTACCATAAGCTTAGGTCGATTAATAAATGGCATTGCAGGCATTCTGAATATTCCCATAAGTGCTCTGAACCCATCTTTAGCAGCCAGTGAAAAATTCCAAAGCCTATTATACCAGCAACAGTTTGTGATTATCTAAATCTATCTTGTTTTTTCTCTGAGGGTAGAGTGTCAGTGAGATGCCTTGGTCAATCCCCACTGGCCCATTCTCTTGATACATAAGATCTACTTGTGCTTCAGCATTGTTCACTTGCTCTCAAAGCTTGTAAGTACCAGGAAATGAATGGGAAGTAAAGAAACAGAAACAGAAGAAGTAAACACATTTTGTCAATTTTACAACATAGCTGTTATATTTGTGCCTTTCAGCTGACATTTCTGACCAGGCATTTATTTGTTGCCAGGGTTAGCCTTCCCGGTTATTTAAGACGTAAACAATAATGTATGCACTTACCAGATCATATTCTAAGTGCAAACCTTCCTTTCCCAGATTCTCCGGGATTCCACGGAAGCAGACGTTGTATAAAGTTGGATCCTTGAGGACGTTTTACCCCGGGACTCCAATATAGACCTCAGCAGAAAGCTGGTATATGTCACCACAGTTCGGCAGTAAGCCGGTATACTTACATTAACTTATTCAGACTGCGGAACAGAAACAGAGATGACTGTCTGGATCTCAAGGTCGGACTGTTACCCATCGTGAGAACATATCAGTCCATGGATGTACGAGCTGGCTTTTGTTGATGTGTTTGAATGAGTGGATTATTAATTGCATATTTTCTCATTGCTATTGTCAATACACAATTGGAACCTTTAAAGAGAGTCCTCGTTCCGCTACGTTTGGAAGCTTCAACATTCATCATGTTGTGTTACTCTTGGCCAGTGGCATATTAAGTTGTCGATGCCATTTGTTACATTGCGACGCCCTTATTCACCTTTGGTACGCCACACATCACGCAGCCTTTACAGCACGTCACACTGTACGTCCAAGCTTTTGCTCGTCACATCATCATCTTCATCAAAGATTCTGAGACTTTTCCTATTAGGCTACTGAAAGATTTATAACATTTATTTCTGATTATAAAAAAAAAATATGTGTACACTTGCCAGATCATATTCCAAATGCAACCCTTCCTTTTCCAGATTCTCCTCAAACACTTTTCGAGCCCGTTTGGCAGCTTCAGATTTCTTGTTGACTTCTGTACTCCAGGCCAGAATGAAGTCAATTCGTCGCTGACCATCCTTGAAGAACAGATTTCGTACCTAGAAGAAACACATTAGACAGAGTCATAGCTTTTCCTAAAGGATATGATAGATTTACTGCCTACAACACATACGACAAATAGACTCAATTATCTCAAAGGAACAGATTTATCATCAAGAAGAAATAGAATGAATATATTCACACCTATTTTTATAGGAACATACCCATTACCCATAAGAAATATAATAACATCATCTCAAAGGAACAGATTTATGATGTTCAAGAAAAAGAACCAATATAATAATCAAACCTCTTTAGAGAGGAACAGATCTGTTACCCACATGAAATACTCTAGTTAAACCCACACATTCGAAACAACCATATTAAATACCTACATGAATAGAGACATTCAAGCCTCTTCATAAAACACAGCTGTATTACTTAAACAAACAAACAAAAGACATTAAAATATTAAAGGTTAATATTTATTCCTTAAGAGAAATGAAATATATAACAGATATTCAATTTTGTTCTTAATAAATTCACTATGTTAATGCTAATTATTAGATTTACTTCTTTTCTGCTGTAATTTTTAGTATCATGTTATGGTTAATTTTATCGTTAATTCAAAGTAAAATTTACTTATATAACAAAATTCATAAGTAAAATAAAAAATAAAAAATTATTTTGAAGTATAAAAATGTTTGCTTTGATCAAACTGTTGTAAATCTGATTCATTAAAACAACTACTTTTTAAAAACTAGTGTAAATTTGACTAACTTACTATGAATTGTCCGAGCATTTTCTGAGAGTGGTTTATGACTGATAGCTTGTGGTCCTCTACTTGTTGACGACAACTTAGTTGTAAGAAATGTTAGTAAAACTGACTTTAATGGTAATTTGCTTTTAAAAACTTCACAAAGTTTCTTTCGCCAGTCTTTTCCTTGCAACCTTTAGTTACTCTGGCTAAAAAAGTCCTGGCAGCCTAAGTCAGACAGCTAATGCCTAAAGAAGATAAATGTGTCGTCCAAAAGATCCAAATATCACAGCTATGCCATAAACAGGCATAAGATATTTACGTCACTTGGACGAACGCTGAAGAAGAAATAAGGTAAGTGAAGAACCCTTTTGTGGCTAGTCTCACATCAGGCTTATGATGTTAAACACACATTTTGTTTAGATCAATTAACATTAGACTGATGAGATAGTCAACATTATGCCAGCCACCTTTACTTCCCAGGAATTTATCTGGTACCTATTTTAGGCTTAGTCGACCTGGAAGCCACGGTCATTGTGATAAAAGAATCCAATGTGATGCACATTTAACTCCAAGACCTTTAGTCTGGCAGGCAAGTGTGGTTAACGGTATTTACAACATTACTCTCTAGGGGGTATCCATGCTAAAGTGGTCAAGCCGTTTGCCTCACACTCTAAAGATCATAGGTATATTTTACAGCTCAGTGGAATTTTATAGAGATCTCTGGGCATCGTCACCGGAATTACTGAGTTTGTGCTTTGTATGAAGCTCTCAACAGGAAAAAATCATCATGTCGAGAGAGACTGAGCCATATGCTTTAAACCTGGTGCAATTAAATCGGCTTTAATGATATCTGTCTCAGAAACTACATATCTGTTGCCTCCAAGCTATTCTTAATTTGTTCATTCACACTGCAAGGCAAGCAAACTACTAACAGTAAAATTTCCTAGTGAACCACAAAAAGGCAACATGCTGGGGTTGGATCGCAGGATACGCAACTAGGTGAACATTGCACGATTCACTGCCATACAGAAAAACATGTTACATATTATACAACTCTAGTCGTACTCGCTCTCACTTTTTTCTCAATTTAAAATGACATTTATTGTATATGCTTTCTGAAACAGAACCAGTTGCAGTGACAGATCAATGTTGCAAACGAAGCATACAGGATGAGAATAAAATATTTACAAAATTTGTCTTATCTCATCATGCTCCTCTTATATCTTGTGAAGCAGAAAGAATGACAGTGTTCATCTGCATGCTTTTCAATGTCTTCTGGTTTTGCCTTTAAAATGGCAGTTGGCACTTATGCTGTGGTTTACAGCTAGGCTGTGATATCCTCATCTTTCAGCTCAAAACATCCAATTTCAGCAAATTCCTAATCAGTCACCTTTTACGACTTGCATTTTTCGGGGGTAGTGAGCACCCCCCCCCCCCCCCAGGGAATGAGCTTTAACCATGGGAGTTCCCAATGACTCTTTTATTTTCTCAAAAAACTGTTTACATGGTTAGCCTCTCTTTCAATTTCCACTTGATCTTTCCAATATTTCTTAGTCATAAATTAGAATTTGCAATTTCTGAATGTGTTATAGGGATGCAGAAGTGTGATATGTTAGGATGTAAGCTGATCAAGGTCTCATTTCCTCTGTAAGCTGATAAAGGTCTCATTTCTTCTTTAAGCTGACCAATGTCTCATTTCTTCTTTAAGCTGACCAATGTCTCATTTCTTCTGTTAGCTGATCAAGGTCTCATTTCTTCTGTTAGCTGACCAATGTCTCATTTCTTCTTTAAGCTGACCAATGTCTCATTTCTTCTGTTAGCTGATCAAGGTCTCATTTCTTCTGTAAGCTGATCAAGGTCTCATTTCTTCTGTAAGCTGATCAAGGTCTCATTTCTTCTCATTCTGGGTAGGCACCAGTTGGACTAAAGCAGGGGGAAATTTCCTTTATGATGAAGCCTGCCAAGGACTCAGCATTTCCATCAGATGGCAAGAAATTTAAGGCTAGGCCACCACAACGAGGGTAGCCAATCAGCAATCCAGTCTTGCAATCATTGCTGGGACAACTCAAAAGATAAGTTAGAGCATGTGTGTTGCTTGACTGCTAAGATAGAAATGTCATAACAAGTTCTGAATTCATAACTCAAACAACCTTCATAACCAGTTCTGAATTCATAACTCAAAACAACTGTCATAACCAGTTCTGAATTCATAACTCAAACAACCTTCATAACCAGTTCTGAATTCATAACTCAAAACAACTGTCATAACAAGTTCTGAATTCATAACTCAAACAACCTTCATAACCAGTTCTGAATTCATAACTCAAAACAACTGTCATAACCAGTTCTGAATTCATAACTCAAACAACCGTCTTAACCAGTTCTGAATTTACAACTCAAACACGAGTATATTAACAGCGTTTATCATCAATTATTTCATCATTCTATTATTATTAAAGTAAACAGAACAACCCTGATTACACCAATACTAATATTTTTATAGAGTCAGTGGGTCAACACCACAAAGGCCGCCCTTATTTCCCACAACACTTCCTGATTCCCATTTCCCCAATACCACAATGTTTGTGATCTTGTCCTGCCACTTAATGCCAAGTATTCTTCTAAGGCATTGCATGTGAAAGCTATTTAGCCGTTTCTTTTTGTGCGAATAAGTTGATCAAGTTTCACTGCCATAAAGCAGAGTGCTGACAATACAAGCCTGATCATTGTAGATAGAGTCTTCTTTTACTTTCTAATGTTGTTTCTCAATACCTATTGTCAAGATTCTGTGTCTGTGGCTTAGGCACTGTGAACATACTTTGTAATTCTGAGTTGCAGGTGATTTGGCAGCAGACCGGCTATCATTAGTTTTGACAATGGTATCGAGAGCTGACCGTTCAGAATCAATGGCAAACTACTCAACATAACATTGTTTAGTAAGATCACAAACTGCCAAAAAATGCTGAGGTTGGTTCTCCAACATCCAGTAAACAATATACAAACTTTAAAAAAAATTTCTGTTGGTCATGAAGAACAAAAAGTGATAGGTATTGTTCCTTATCATTCTGTGTTTCTTTAGTGTAAATGCAAATACAGCCACACATACAAACAAACAAAATACCTATGTAAATTTAAAACAAACACACACAATACATATGGAAATTTAAAACAAACACACAATATACAGATGGAAATTGAAAACAAACACACACAATACATATGGAAATTTAAGAGCACAATATGAAGGATCAAAATGCTAGATTTGGCAACCAGCTTTAGGTTCTTTTTCATGCAAAGATACAAACAAGCATGCCCACACATTTCCGAGGGCAACAAATGAGGGAGGGAAAAATACCTTTGTTCTTTTCCTTCATGCAAATTTTTAATACAAGCATTTATGTTTACCACTTCAGGCAGTCTTTCCCATTGGTGGTCTACCAAACAAATTTAACAGGTTCATGATATATTGATAACCTTTCCAAAAAACCCTCAACTTTTTTTGTGGGGGGGGGGGGGGGGGGGGGGGGGGGGGGGGGGGGGAGGGGGGGGGGGGGGGATTCTCATATTTATAAATTATTTCTACTCAAAACAATGTTGTCCTGTAATGAATGTAAATAATGAGCACACGAACAATACACTGCACAATTTATTGCCAGGCATATTTTGCTGTATCTAAACACACCATGATGCGTCGAAAGAAACTATTCGCATTTCAGTTGGACTTATTCAGTTTCTGTGCTTCATTTTTATGTTTAGGTTTCTTTTAGTAATGCACTTGACGAGATACAGTAAAATATGCCTGGCAATAAATTGTGCAATGTATTAGTTTGTGTCCACATTATCTAAATTATTTTTTATAGTTTTTTAACATGACTGTTTAAAAAAAAATACATATATATATGTGTGTGAGCCATGGAAGACCTTCTAAAATAAATGGGCTAAAATATGTTTATAAAATGAAAACAGGTAGTGGTGGTGGTGGTGGTGGTGGAATCAGCGCTGGTGGTGGGGAAATTTTCCACACTAGGTGCCCCTGACCTTGCTGCTCCACTGCATTAGATGACAATAGAAGACAGAAGCACAGGATCCATAGACAACTGCATGTCTGTTTTTCAACACTTACCTATATATATATAAAGTAAAAGATATCTTTTCACGCCTTTAGGAGCATCAGGTATATGGGAAGAGTGCCCATATTTTTACAGACCATTGGCACAAGTGGGTACTGAATTCAGCATTACGCCGGCCGTCTTTACTTCCCCAGGACAACCATCCTGGTACCCGTTTTAGGCTGGGTCG